ATTGAGCAGGGAGTGGTGCTTTCTTGCAGGTTTGCCGAGTCGAAGGTTCGATGGACTTCTCGTGTGCTCTGGATGGCAGTCGTGAGTCAGTCAAGTGTCAAGTAAAGTCGGCGGAATAGCGCGAGCTCCGGTGTGGGGAGCAAACCCTTTCTTACAAATTATCGCCGAAGTCGCAACCACTACTTCGTACTGTTGTGCCCAGCGCGGGCTTGCGACTAGTTGGTTTCGAGGTGACAGCGTTGCGAATGACCGAGGGCCCTCGACGTCTGTCTCACCGTCCAGGAGCGACACTGACTCACGCTGCTATCTGGTGTTCACGAGGTGTTTGTCGCGCTGGAAACGGAGCGTCTCTGTAAGTTTGTATCCCTGGTGATGTTTGTGCCTGGAGAGCACTATATAAGTGGTGCTCTTCAGGCACAATCTTCCTCAGCCTACTCAAGCTCAACTGATGAGGGGTGAATTCCCCGAAACACTGTGTATTGAGCAGGGAGTGGTGCTTTCTTGCAGGTTTGCCGAGTCGAAGGTTCCATGGACTTCTCGTGTGCTCTGGATTGCAGTCGTGAGTCAGTCAAGTGTCAAGTAAAGTCGGCGGAATAGCGCGAGCTCCGGTGTGGGGAGCAAACCCTTTCTTACAAATTATCGCCGAAGTCGCAACCACTACTTCGTACTGTTGTGCCCAGCGCGGGCTTGCGACTAGTTGGTTTCGAGGTGACAGCGTTGCGAATGACCGAGGGCCCTCGACGTCTGTCTCACCGTCCAGGAGCGACACTGACTCACGCTGCTATCTGGTGTTCACGAGGTGTTTGTCGCGCTGGAAACGGAGCGTCTCTGTAAGCTTGTATCCCTGGTGATGTTTGTGCCTGGAGAGCACTATATAAGTGGTGCTCTTCAGGCACAATCTTCCTCAGCCTACTCAAGCTCAACTGATGAGGGATGAATTCCCCGAAACACTGTGTATTGAGCAGGGAGTGGTGCTTTCTTGCAGGTTTGCCGAGTCGAAGGTTCGATGGACTTCTCGTGTGCTCTGGATGGCAGTCGTGAGTCAGTCAAGTGTCAAGTAAAGTCGGCGGAATAGCGCGAGCTCCGGTGTGGGGAGCAAACCCTTCGACTTCGGCGATAATTTGTATCTCTTAGTATAAGTATTACTTTAATTAAAAAGGCAATAAATAAGATAAATTGTGCACTCATAACAACAGCAAAAATGAAGAAAGTCAAATTCCATAACGTTTTCTTGTGACTGTCATCAGTGGAACGCCGTCACATAAAAATGTAATAACTAAAACACACACTTATATACATGTAGCTAATATGGTTTCAGGTAGAAATACAGCAGCTAACAGGTACAAAAAGGGAAGTTTGCACCTTTGCAATGTGTGAATATAGTGTATGTGAGAAAGGTAGTGGCAGATGAATGAATGTGATACTGTGTGAATGAATGTAATGGTGCGTGTGTATTACTTGAAGAGTGTGAGTGATACAACGTTTTCTTTCTGTTTACATAGCACAGGGTCACGAGTACGAATATACACAGCTTCCAACACCTGCAATTGCTTGAAGAAACGTGCGCAACGAATAACACTAAACCAGGAATCGTCAAACACCTTACGACATTCTGGACTGGACACCAAATGCCTGTACACTGCAGACTTCCTCTTGTCAACATCAAACTCCTCCTCATCACTACTCTCATCCTCCACCTCCATTCCAATGCCGCCGTCCATCCCATCGCACTCGTATTCGTCGTCATCAGTCTCCATCTCCTCGCGACACCGCTTCCCTTTCCTTGATTCGTTCTGTGCCGTGCCTGTGCTTCCTCCTGCGTCTCCTTGCCTTGTGTTCTCCACTTGTCTCAGTCGTGCCTCTGCTAGTCTCTTGCTTCTCCTCGGTTCTGCTCTGTTTTCAAGTTGTTCCCCTTCCGCTCTTACCGTTGTAGCAACATGGTTTGTCGAGGAGCGACCGTCCGGCGGCCTCCCTTGCCGTGGTCCGGTTTCCGAGGGGGGAACCAGATAAGTCTGCTCGTTCTACATGGAAGTAGTCGGTGTTTCTGTTTCCGAATTGTGAGCCGTGCTAGGTGTAGAAATAGGCAGCGGATGTTTTCGTGGTCTCCCACGCTTCGGCCTGCTTAAGGTGGCCCTCTGAGCTTTACGGCACCCCGCCCGGAAAACGGCGTAACTTTGGTTACAATGCATATAATTGGTTCAAGTTTTCAACACTAATTCCTGAGATCCCATAGTCTGATCTACACCAGGAAAAATGGACCTCTTCACAAGCGCTGTCGGTGTGGATGTGAATTTACGAAAATTGCCGTATATAGAACTCTTAACCAGCACTGAGAAATACCAATGTTTTTATCATGACATTTTTCACATGGAGTACATTCTTGACATCCAACTTGAGGTGCTAAAACAACAATATACAAAGAAAACCTCAGAAAAGGTTTCCAATATCGAAAACACAAAAGCATAGTCCAAATGCGCAAAAGAACGACACATGTTGGAGATGCTCTTTACAGCCTATACTACCTGAGAACAGGCCACATTGAGTTTTAGCACCTAGCCAAAGGTCCACGGATTCAGAAAATATATACTTTTGGGGGTGTAGAAGCAACAACTGAAGCCACAGCCTGGTTACAAGGTCCGGCAATGGCTGAAAAAGAGAGAAAATTGGGTACCAAAATTTGATTTATGTAAATGTGTTTTACAGGGTAAATAGTGGTGTGAGAACGGTATGATCTTATTTGGATAGGTATGTCTGTCTGTGTGTTTGCCTCCCTCTGTGTGTGTGTGTGTGTGTGTGTGTGTGCGTTTGTGTGTATGTCTGTATGAAATTTTTAAACCAACTTGCAATTATTGGAATTTACTATTTATTATTTCGAAATTTCACATGTATTCACCTATGTTCAGGCGGCTATATCTCCGGAACGGCTTTGAATATCACCTTCAAATTTTTTTGTGTGTTCTTGGATGATATAGGAAGGATTTGACTGCACTTTGGGAGCAATCCAAGAAAGTCGGTTTTTTGACCCCCAAAGCTCAGAGGGCCACCTTAACCTGGCAGCCTGGGACAACAATGATAATGGGACGTGCTGCTTGAAAACAGAGCAGAACCGAGGAGAAGCAAGAGACTAGCAGAGGCACGACTGAGACAAGTGGAGAACACAAGGCAAGGAGACGCAGGAGGAAGCACAGGCACGGCACAGAACGAATCAAGGAAAGGGAAGCGGTGTCGCGAGGAGATGGAGACTGATGACGACGAATACGAGTGCGATGGGATGGACGGCGGCATTGGAATGGAGGTGGAGGATGAGAGTAGTGATGAGGAGGAGTTTGATGTTGACAAGAGGAAGTCTGCAGTGTACAGGCATTTGGTGTCCAGTCCAGAATGTCGTAAGGTGTTTGACGATTCCTGGTTTAGTGTTATTCGTTGCGCACGTTTCTTCAAGCAATTGCAGGTGTTGGAAGCTGTGTATATTCGTACTCGTGACCCTGTGCTATGTAAACAGAAAGAAAACGTTGTATCACTCACACTCTTCAAGTAATACACACGCACCATTACATTCATTCACACAGTATCACATTCATTCATCTGCCACTACCTTTCTCACATACACTATATTCACACATTGCAAAGGTGCAAACTTCCCTTTTTGTACCTGTTAGCTGCTGTATTTCTACCTGAAACCATATTAGCTACATGTATATAAGTGTGTGTTTTAGTTATTACATTTTTATGTGACGGCGTTCCACTGATGACAGTCACAAGAAAACGTTATGGAACTTGACTTTCTTCATTTTTGCTGTTGTTATGAGTGCACAATTTATCTTATTTATTGCCATTTTACGACTATTGTCTCCTCGTCGATTGTTTAATTAAAAAGCGGAGATAAAAATGTAATCAACGCAATAAATAGAGTAAGCTGCGCACTCAGTACAAACACCATTAGCAAAACTTGTTTTCATGTAAATAAAGAAGCTTGTTCCTAAACGTTTTCGTCGCCATCTCATCAGAGGATTACTGACGAAAACGTTTAGGAACAAGCTTCTTTATTTACATGAAAACAAGTTTTGCTAATGGTGTTTGTACTGAGTGCGCAGCTTACTCTATTTATTACTTTAATAGTAACTGTTACTGTTTGCTCCGAAAATCAACAGACAACAACCCCCTACTTATTTTTATCGCCGTGGTTGGCTACCAACCACTCTATTCGCATTGTTGCCCCGTGTTTCTACCGAGCGATGCACAATATCACTTCTGCGACGCGATGAGCGACGAGCGATGCGATCGGGAGTTGTTTCTGCTACATTTTGAATCGCAGGTTGTCGCAGCTCCGTCACAGGTCTCATCGCGGAAAGTTGAGCCTAGATGTATGTGCACAGTCGCAGACTAGACCACATAGGACTTTCAAAGTCAGTTAGGAGCGCACAGGTGGTCAAGGAGGAAAAGGCATGACAGCCATCATTAGTATTTTCAGTATGGGGAGGTTGAGGCTCAGGTGGTGGTGCCAGGGAATCAAAGGAACGCAGCAGTCGCTGTGCCAGTGTTACACTCAAGACAAGAGTGGTAAGTGCCACTGGCAAGAGTTCGATTGGCCCGAAGTGGTATTTCGCAACAGCTCTAAATCAGGGCATACAAAGTTGGGATAGAGGAAATTAGTTTCAAGCACAACCTGAATGGTCTGTCGTTGCTTTGCGAGCCAGGCTGCGACTGTGCACATCGTTCGCCGTGCTGTGTGGCATGCGAGAAGGTGCATGCAGTGCACTGGCATACTGCGCGCTTGCACAGGAAATATTCCTTTGTTTCAGCTTTTGAGTTTATCAACACCAACGTTGCTTCCCCCAGAACCAGATCACAAAGTACAATCATACATGTATATAATGCAGATTGAGTATTATACTACGTGATTGTATATACGTAGAGCAGTAAGTGAAACCAGAATTTCTTCGTATTGGTCGAGAAGACTGCGACTGAGGTTTAGACCGACAGGAGAATGAGGTTTCTCCAGGTCGTCACCCTGCTAGGAGTAGGAGTACTTCTTGGAGCCGCCCTCCCAACCAAAGCCATTCCGGCACCGAAATGGGATGGGAAGGATCACTCGGAAATTCTGAAAGACCTGGTGCTGAACTACAAGTACAACGATGACGCTCCGGTAGGTAGTACGTTGGAGCGATACGTGTTCTTCCTGACTCCATGCGTCCCGTATTTATACCGATCTACCCTCGTTCGTAGACAACCCCTAGAGTTTCAACAGAAATTCTGTTTCCTCATTATGACAATTCTTTCCCCAGACCCCTCCCTGTACAGGACAACCTCTTTAGGCCCCGGTCACACATGCACTTTTTTTGGCGGAAAGTTTGGATTTCGCTACGCCAAAAAAATGCGAGCGGAGCTTCCGCTTTCGCGGATCCGCTTTCGCGGATCCGCTTTGGCGGAACCTGCATGGTGATGGCTTTGGAGTTTGGTGTGCTACTTCTGCTCTGAGTTCTGGTGTTGTTTGGTTGCCGTTTGGTATTCAGTTTTCATATTGTTCTTCTTTGCCAATGAACTGTACGTTCTGGAGATCTCGCAAACAATACTGCATCGTTATGAGTGGATAATGGGTGAGGGAATCCGTCTCCCAACTCATTGGCCCCGATCGCGGACGATCTCCAACGCTCTCCTTCTCGCTCCAAGCAATACGTCCACCAGAGTATACAACACTAGGACTGCAACCAGGGAGTAGTAGAGTACTCTGCCACACCCTCACTGCAACTGCAGGCATCCACGCAGTCGCTGGGTCGATGATGGATCATGGAGGAGGCAACGACACCCTGCTATAAAACTATTTGAATTTGATATTGATGTAAACTAAACTAATATTCAAATACACCCGTGCTGGGCCGCAGTGAATGTGCCCCAAATCCACGAGTGTACTTGACAGGAGCTCCGGAGACATTCAGCAGCCTGTCAGCGATCCACGATAGCTCTACTTGTACAAGCGATGGTCGCTTCAACTCGGACAAGAAGGAGGCAACGACACCCTGCTATACAACTATTTGAATTTGATATTGATGTAAACCAAACTAGTAATATTCAAATAATATATACACCAGTACTGGGCCGCAGTGAATGCGCCCCAAATCCACGAGTGTACTTGACAGGAGACATTCAGCAGCCTGTCAGCGATCCACGATAGCTCTACTTGTACAAGCGAAGGTCGCTTCAACTCGGACAAGAACATCTAAAATTTCATAGGACGTGCTGCATTTGCATTCTCTCCGCCAAAGCGGAGCGTTGAGGAGCACAGTAGTCTACATGTATGTGTGACCGCCGCATCGTGTGGTCCGCCAAAGCTGCTGCGGTAGTTCCGCTTTTCGCCTCCGCAAAAGCGGTGCAAGCTTTTCATGTGTGACCGCGGCCTAAGGCCGCGGTCACACATTAAAAGTTAGTTTGAACCGCTTTTGCGGAGGCGAAAAGGGTAACTATCGGAGCAGCTTTTGCGGAACACACTATGCAGCGGTCACACATACATAAATTATGTACATGATCGATTGTACTATGTTCCTCAACGCTCCGCTTTGGCGGAGGGAATGCAAATGCACGTACACGTCCTATGAAATTTTAGATGTTGTTGTCCGAGTTGAAGCGACCTTCGCTTGTAGAGCTACCGTGGATCGCTGAAAGGCTGCTGAGTGAATGTCTCCGGTCAAGTACACTCGTGGATTTGGGGCACATTCGTTGCGGCCCAGTACGGGTGCACTTGAATTATTATTAGTATACATCGATATCAAATTCAAACAGTTGTATAGCAGGGTGTCTTTGCCTCCTCCATGATCAATCATCGACCCCAGCGTGGAGGCCTGTAGTTGCAGTGAGGGTGTGGCAGAGTACTCTGCTACTCCCTGGTTCCAGTCCTAGTGTTGCGTACTCTGGTGGACGCATTGCTAGGAGAGAGAAACGTCGTCCTTTCTCGTCCGCGATCGGGGCCAAGGAGTTGGGAGACAGATTCCCTCACGAACTCTACACTCATAACGATGCCGTTTCGTTTGCGAGATTTCCGGGACGAACAGTACATTTGCAAAGAGGAACAATATGAAAAAATACCAAACGGCAACCAAACATCACCAGAACTCCGTGCCAGAAGTAGCACACCAAAACCATCACCATGTAGGTTTCGCCAAAGCGGGACCTCGGAAGCGGAGGTTCCGCTCGCGTTTTTTGGCATAGCGAAATCCAAACTTTCCGCGGAGCCGCCAAAAAAAGTGCATGTGTGACCAAGGTGACAGCGGCCTATAAGTATATAATATTACCTGAAGCCGAGTGAATATGGGCGAATATTCACTAGTATACAAACCGAGGCGAAGCCGAGGTTTGTATAACTAGTGAATATTCGCCCATATTCACGAGGCTGAAGGTAATATTAGACTTATACCTCTCCATATTCACCCTCTCGTCCCTAAAACCCAACAAACGAGTCCTGTTGGTCATACATGTACATGTACGCAGAACTAACGTAAGTCGTTGTTGCTTCACTGAGCCTTCAGACCGACTGGCGTGTTCTTGCCTGAATCGGAGGGCGGCGTGTTCAGAATCTTGTTCAATCGATCGTGTACACGTACTGGTGCATGTGGCATGGGAGGTGACGACTTTGGAGAACACGCTCGTGCCAATCACCATGGAGAACACGCTCGTGCAGCTTTGTGGCGGAAGCCAATCATTAGAGAGGTTTCGTTTCACGCGAAGATTTGACCAATCAGAGAGAGGTTTCGTTTCACGCGAAGATTTGACCAATCCGCGATCATCGTGCCAATTCGGGAGTCGGTTTATAACAGCGAGCCAAGCGGTTCTACCCTCACTTCTTTTCTTTTTAGGCAGCGCTTCGGAGCTGTTGTGTGCCCTAGAAAAATTCTACGCTAACGTCCTTGAACAGGGCTGTTCTGAGTACAAACGAAATTCCTGGCTTGCCGCTTGATCCGCAATCATCGGGCCATTGACATGTTGAGCGTCCAAAACCTTGTTTGCTCGGTGGAACGCTCCGTCTGTGAAGATGCTCACTGTCAGCACCTGGTCACATGCGGATCCAGCGGCAATGGCAAGCAAGGAATTTCGTTTGTACTCAGAAAAGTCCTGCCTATGGAAGTTAGCGTAGACATTTTCTAGGGCACTCGACAGCTCCGGTGCGCTGACTGAAGAGGAATCAAGCGCAGCACCGAGGACTGCTCTCTTTACAGTACAAATGTAAAGTGGTGAATATGAGGTACAAAGTGGTGAATATAAGCGGTGAATATTCAGCAATGTACAGTCTATATCCAGCCCACTGATAATAATGGTGCAGAGCCACTCCGTTTTATGTGTCTATCAGCACTGCTTGTTGTACTGTTGTGCATTATCATACTGCTACGCATTCGTTCCTCATGTTGTATTCACGTCAGCTGACGTCTGATGCTCGTAGTCGCGTACACTGCTTTCATTCCTCATGTTGTATTCACGTCTGGATGCGCGTAGTCACGTACACTTGGTACACTGCTTTCACTTCTCATGTTGTACCGGTATTCACGTCTGATGCGCGTAGTCGCGTACACTGCTTTCGCGCGATCTTTTGATTTGAATGTTTTTGAATCTCCGCTTCTGCTTCGAGAGAAGCAGAACTTTCCTTTGTACTGCAAGATGATTTCGATCAGAGTCAGAGTAAACATACAGTCTTCTAAAACAACGAATCGTGTGCTATCCGGAGGCATGTTCGAGTAAGAACATAATGGTCCTTCGAGCCGGATCGCGGTCTTAGAGACAGAGCGAGCTGAGAGCGAACAGCGAGTTCGAAAAAGCAGGAGGTTAAAAGGCATTCCACCAGCAAGGGATGAGGCAGAAGGCTTCGAATTTCCTTCGTTGGCAGCCAGGAAAACGGCAATGGCAGATGCCAGGTCTGTAGGAAGCGCAGAATCAAGTAGGTCAGGTGCTAGTCGTACGTCCAGAGCAACATCGTCACGACGACAAGCGAAGATTCAGGCCGCTGCGAAGACGTTACGTCTTGAACAGGAATTTCTGGCAAAGAAATTCGAACAAGACAAAAGACTAGTGGAGCTGGAGTTGGCCGAGGACCTAGCTAGGCTCTCCGATGAGGAAAGTATTCCGGACGACAGTAGCCAACGTAGCTCACATCGCAGCTCACATCGCTCCTCAACTGCAAGTGTGCGCTCAAATCGTAGCGGTGCTCTCTCGATCTCCAACTGCAGTTCTGGATATATGAACGCTGTGGATGAGCAGTCAGTGCAGGAAGTGGAGTCTGACAGCCAAAGACGCAGTAACCTGTCCCCGGGGAAAATTGCGGAAAAAAATCGCAAAAAAACGCGGGGAAAAACGCGGCAGAATATGGCATAATTTGCGGTGAATTAGCGGTAAATATGCGGTAAATATGCGGTGAATGCGGCAATTTTCAGTGAGTATGTAGTGAAATCAATCAGTTACAAGTCTCTGGTGTAATCACTCGTCATATTTGAGTAAAAGGCCGGCACCGTGAGACGTTGCTGATCGAACAGTGCACTGTGTGTACGTGTAATGCAACAAAAAAAGTTCAAAAAACGCGGGAAAATCGCGGAAAACGCGGTCTTTTACAAAATCGCAAAAAACGCGGAAAAAAACGCGGCCGCGGAATCGCAATTTTCCCCGGGGACAGAGTAACGTTAGTTTGAGCAATCACAGTGACAGAGGAGATTGTGTCCAACCTGCAGTAACTGTCGCACCCCAGTCTGAGCTGACAAGACCTGCCAGACCACCGCCACAGCCTCCTGTACACCATGTACAGGCCAAGCGTCCACCTATCATGAATGCTGCAGCCAGGAGCCTCAGCAAAGGCTGGTGCAGCCAGTAGAACGCACCTTGACTCTGATGCGCCACACTGGTCTGAGCGCACAGAATCCAGCCACCCGTCCACATGGTCCAGAGGATCCCACTGCATCTGCACGATACGTTCAGAACTGGGTAAACAGCGTGCCACACAGTGCTGGGTATGTTGGTATTCCGCAGTTCCAGATAAAGCCGCTGGAACTGCCCAAATTCAATGGCCAACAGGAGAGCAGCTTCGATGGCGCCAGCGATTCATGCGTCTCGTAGACATGACACGTTGACACGTTGACACCTCATGTCAACGGAGGATTATAAGATGGCACGGCTGCGTGAGGCGCTGGATGGTGGGAAGGCTGAAGAACTTGTCAGTGGCATTCTGGACGGCCCTGGGGCATACAGTGCCGTGCTGAAGGAGCTCGACCAGTGGTTTGGCGGCGACAACCGGGAGCTGGAACGGCAACAGCAGGAACTATTGGCCAGTCCCCGGATCTCTCTGGAAGATGACACAACAGCTTTGCAGCGACTTGCAGTGAAGCTGAGAAACGTTCTGCCTAACCTGAAAACGGCCAACGTCGTACCCGGACGCGAACTGTACATAGCAGTGTCTCAGAAGCTCCCAAGACGGATGCTGTCCCGATTCCTGGATCGGTATGATGACCAGAGCTGTGATGCGGAGGTGTTGTCTACCTGGCTGCTGAAGCAGGTGCACAGAGCGCAGCAGGTGGATGCGCGCCTCGCACTGCCCAGAGAGGCCACCACAGCATCTACCCGCAAGCCGTACGACGTCCACAGCAGCAGAGCGCCCAGCTCAGGTCGGCACGCAACCCAACATGCATTCCATGCCTCGAGGGGTAAGCCAGCGGAGACTCCCAATGCATGTTTCAAGTGTGACGGTAATCATCTCCTGAGCCAGTGCCCCGCCTTCACAGCAATGTCGGTACGAGAACGCTGGGATTTAGTGAAACCTACACCTCTCTGTATTTGCTGCTTGCGACCTGGCCACCGTAGCATGTCCTGTAGCGGGTCCACCTGCGCAAAGTGCAACGGCAAGCACCATGCACTGCTGCATTTCGACAAGTTCAGCAGCAACAAGCTTAAGCAGAAGCAGTCTAATAGCAGTAACAGTCAGGGCAAGGTACCTGTCAAGGAGCAAGTTCTGCATGTGTGCCGCTCGCAACCACGACGAACGTCTCTCCCTGCCATATCATTCATGACAGTCCCGGTCACAGTTCGCAACGGGAGTCAAGAAACCGTATGCAGAGCACTACTTGATCCGGCATCCACCAGCACATATATCAAAGCCGCAGTGGCTGAAGCTATCGGCTTGACTGGAGATCCGGAACCGCTCCAAGTGACCACACTTGGTGGCAGCCAGATGGAGGCCATGCACCGACGCGCACCGGTGACCATTCAAAGTACAGACAGCAGCTTGACCCACCTGATCAGCGCTTGGGTTCTGCCATGTGTCACAGCCGACACCGTGGCCGTCGACTGGAGTCAACACCAAGATGCCTGGATGCATCTGCACGCCATACCATTCCCAACTATGGACACCGGCGACATTGGTCTGCTGATTGGCGTGGATGCTGCGCCACTCCATACAGCGCTGGTAGAGCGACGAGGCCCCGATGATGCGCCGATTGCCCGTCGGACCCCGCTCGGTTGGGTTTGCTATGGCCCCACAGGTACAAGCACCGAGAGGTCCCAGTCTATCATCACGAACTGTGCCACCGCCGCTGTACGATCAGAGATGACCTCCTCTGGCACAGAACCGCGTCTGGATGAGCTCGTCCTCAACCTATGGGACACTGAGTCCATCGGTGTTGTGAACGCTGACCAGCGATACCGCACACCAGCAAAACGTGAAGCGGAGGAACTGGCCACGGCTACCATGCGCCATGATGGGCAGCGGTACGAAATCGGTCTTCCCTGGATCCGCCCAACTGGTCCGAACATCACATCAAACCGCGCTCAAGCTGAACAGCGCTTGAGAGGTCTAGAAAAGACCCTGTCAGCCAAGCCAGCGATCCAGGCAGAATATCACCGCGTCCTTGCAGCACATCTGGAGAAAGGGTACATCCGGACTGTGCCTGAAGCCATCGCCGCAGCAGACTGCCAGGACCAGTGGTGCCTGCCACACTTCCCAATCGTCCGGGAGGACAAGAGCACCAGCAAGGTTCGTGTTGTGTTTGATGCCGCTGCTGTCTGGAAAGGTCGCAGCATCAACGCAGAAATGCACACGGGACCACGCCTAGTACATCGTTCGCATCCTGTTGCGGTTCTCTGCTGAACCAGTAGCTCTGGTTGCCGACATCAGTGAGATGTTTATGCAAGTAGGGCTCAAAGAAGAAGATCGGCGATTCACTCGGTTTCTGTGGCGTGCCAGCCCAGACGATGATATGCAAGTGTACGAGTTTAACCGGTTGGTCTTCGGCCTAAGAGCATCACCCTATCTCGCCGGCAAGGCTCTACTGCAAACAGCACAAGATTTCGCGACCGACTCGATGCGCAGCGCCGACCTTGTCCAAGTGGTCGAGGAGAGCTTCTACGTTGATGATCTTCTGGACTCCTTCCAGTCAGCTTCTGTGGCAATAGATGCCCAGCAACAACTGACACAGCTACTACAGTCTGGTGGTTTCAAGCTTCGCAAATGGCTAAGCAACTCTACCGAGGTGATTGAGTCCGTGCCAGAAGCCGACAGAGCCCCGCAGGTGTCCCTGGATGTCAACAGTAACCAGCACTGCACTCTACCGTCGTCTAAGACTCTGGGCGTCATGTGGCTTGCTGACAAGGACGTATTTACCTTCCGATATAATGCACCAGAGGCTATTTTGATTCTTATATTTACATTCCAAACTGCCCTGAGAATGCTTGTTATTGGCTTTAATTTTTAAAAATGTCCCATCACGACCTTTTCCCCCTGAATTGTTTGTGGCTCAGCCTCCAAAGTTGGTACTGAGTGCCTGTTCATTTCAATGCCATTCACTGTGTCGACTGCTTGTTCCACAGAATGCAGCGGAAATGCTAGCTACACTGGTCAGTGTAACTTGGACTGTGAGTGTGTGGATGGCAAGTGGAAATGCTGTCGGCTGAGGAAGAGTGTGAAGAACTTATCCCAGGTAGTGTGAGAATGGCCTTTTTGTGACCACACCTTTGCCCTTTTGACATTTCTGCTCTTTCTGGAATATACTGCAATTGGCAATGGCATGAATGTGTGAACAACCTGATCTGGCCCTGAGTTCAAGCTCTCTCTCTCTCTCTCTCTCTCTCTCTCTCTCTCTCTCTCTCTCTCTCTCTCTCTCTCTCTCTCTCTCTCTCTCTCTCTCTCTCTCTCTCTCTCTCTCTCTGGCCCTGTGTTCAAGCGCTCTTTCTCTCTCTCTCTCTCTCTTTCTTTGTTGTCTCTATTTGGCTCTGCATTTGCTGCCAATCTAGAATTGGACATATCCATCCTTGATGCACAATTTGGGTGACATAATAGGTTGAAATTGACTTACACGTTGACAGAGTCATCTTCGATAGTAAATGTTAGAGTGAGAATGCACCCAGTTATATAAGCCAGTAGTGCCCATCAAATTGTTTTGATATGTGCTACTCTTTGAGACATGCCCTGCTCTACTTGAGATCCAAACTCAACATATTACTGTTGGAGACATATCATTATTGGAGTAGGCCATGGTGGATAATGCTCTCGAAATTAGCAAATTCTGCTCAAAAAGCAGTAAAATGACAGTTCTGCTCTTCTTCGATATCTACAATTTAGTACTTTTCTGGTATATCTGGTACATTATACAAAACAGGCATGGACATACCAGAAAAGTACCAAATTCTGTGTGTTTTCTACTGGCATTATCCGCCAGGAGCTAAATTGAAGGCGTACACAACATTGCAGAAAGTGAGGTATAAAAGGACTGCCGAGCTCATAATTATGTACATAGAATATTGCCACAACTACAAAAATGCTCCTATGTGTACTTTCATGGATTGTATGAATGCTTTCCGGCTTGCTATTCAGGAGGAGAGAGATCGATTTACTCATGCATACTTGACAGCTGCCAAGAATGAAATTTACCAGCCAGCCATGCGCTCCATACAATGGGCGCATGCCGTGTTCTTCTGCACAACGATACCCAGGACGTTGTATGCCCACAGCGATTCGACTGGCTTTCACAATTTGCTTTTGTTGGCCATGGAGAACCTGCTACGCCTGATTGACTGCCGGGTTACTATTCCCTACTGGGATGTTTCACTGGAGTATGCCAAGGTGAGCATCTCCTATCCGTCACTCCTAAAATAATCAGTAGTTGCTATACTGAACAACCTGTCAGTTACACTTGTCACATGCAGAGTCAGAGGTACTGTCGGTGTAGACTGCTACTTTACATAGGGATGGGGTCTAGGAGAAGGCACAGACTCACTACTGTATAAGTAGCATTTTCCCAAAAGTCAACTCGTAATCCGGAACCAAAGCCACTTGCAAAAATGTAGCCCATAAATACACAGAACTGATGAGGTTTAGCTAATGTGGGAGTGTATATGCCAGAAAAACACAAAAGTGACCCTAAGCATGTGTGGGAGAGGGCAAAAAGAGGAAAGTTTCGAGATGAACTTGTGACATGCAACATAATAGACTAGGTGTCTATCATTTAGCCAGCCCCCCACCACAAGCAAGAAAGGATTTTCTCAGGGCTTCAAAAGACTTTTCATCAGAAGTGGGTATGGAATGAAGATTTGTCAAACTTTCGCGCTAACGAAAGTATTTATATTTTATGGCGTTTTAGCATGGTAGTTCTTTCCATGGCTTAGAAACGATGGCAAATACAAAATGGACTCAGATACGGGAGTATGAAAATAGTTCACAATACATCACAATTCATCAATTCAGGTGTGCAATGATGGACTCGGATGGAAAGAAAAGGACCAAGGAGCGCATAACTTGTAGTTCCTTGGTCCTTTTCTTTGCTATAAATACATTAAATAGGATGCGCGGAGACAATAACTTTATTATAGCAATCAGAAGAATCAGCGAAGCGGACATTGCTCGTGGTAATAATTCAAATTTTCGGCCAGGGGCCATTATCATAAACCAGGCAAGGTACCGCTAGTCTTTTGGTCTGTGCATTTTTTATTGTTTTTGTTCAGACGTATATAGAGCAAGCACCTGAAGGTTTTGGTGGCACAGGAATGGCTCCTGATTACTGTGTAGTTGACGGACCATACAGAAAAGGTAATTGAGCTTCCAACATTACTTACCACTCTGGTTTAAATGCCCTATCTTCCAAGCATGCTAGGATCGATTCCATCCCGCGACATCGGAACGTTAGCATTCTCAATCAAAAAATCGAAGGCGGCTGTGACCTGGTCTTCTGGCAGGAATGGCAATGTCATCAGTTGACGACAGCAGTCCTGTAGGTTACCAGCACTGTAAAGTTCCTGCATGCGGCCTGATGCCGGCTGCCGGCTAATTGGTGCCCGTACGTACATTGACATGTACGGCGCTGAAGTGCCTCCCGCGGAAAAAATCTGCGCTGAAGAAATTGGCGCTGACATGTCCTGCGCTTAAACATTTCGCGCTGAAATCATTGGCGCTGTCAAGACACGGCGCTGAAATGGCACCGAGCTGAAATGCCTCGTGCTAAGGCGGTCGCGCTGAAGTGCACCGCGCTAACATGGACGCGCTGTCGCGGGAGGTTACCCTAGGATCGTTGAAGATGGTCTCTTGAGGCAACAATCGGACCTGTTGAAGACCAGTGCAGATGCCATGGGACGTGATGCGGAAAGATGATTCTCTCCCTGTCATCGACTTTGTTTCCCTAGCCCCAGTCAGACCAGTAATCCCACAGCAGTTTGGAGAAACATGCTTTGTATGCTATTGGAAGCGAGTATTATTAATTTTTGGTTTTGTGTCATAAACTACTAGACAAGACACTGTTCACAGCCAGCACTAATCTGTAATATCGTGATGAATAGGTTATTTACAAAGACCATTGCAAGTCGAATTTCACAAGTAAAGACAACTACTTCTGTGCTGGAATATTATGAAGAATTGATATGCCTTGTCTTGTAATGATGATACGAGATCTCCATCACTAGCCCATTAAGTTCATACTGGCTTCTCTCTTCTGTTGTTCTTCACAGGGGAATACAACATTCTAAAGTTCATTCACAATGGCGTGGAGTTGCCCTACACGTCATGCTTGACACGGAATATGTCCTCCACGATGAAGCCTACATCATACCTGGAGTTCCAAACCATGTTGAGTGTGCATCCAGAAAGCTCTATGATTTTTGAGATAGGTAAACTGCGCTTTGGGATTAAACAATTTTTTACAACAGGAATCCATTTCAAAGCAAAGAAAGGAGGCACTACAACCTTTGGTACTGACCAACTTGATGTCGTATTGACGGAAAGCCAGAGTTTGTGCTACTGTACATTTGTAATATATTAGTACTCGGTACGCTTGATTGAAAAGCCAGTCCAGTCCCTTTTCATGCCAGCACCAGTCACCAAGTTTGCAGTAGGCTAGGCACGTGTGTATGGGGGGGGGGAAGGACCGACTACGATCGTACAATTTAATGACATCAGTGACTGCAACTCCCACCACCAAGAGAGGAGCCTCGTATCTTTGGTATTCCAATAACGACCGGTGAATTGTGTAATGTCTCTGTCCTTGGCTTACTGCCAGAGCATGCTATCCTGCCACCGAAGGTGCTGGGAAGGTAGGCTTTCCCCAAATCGGCCGGCCGAAAAATTCGCCAAAAACGAGACTTATCGAAAAATCGATAAGTTTTCGCCGATTTTGGAGGGTTCCTTTGAGAATCGCCGAAAATCTACCGACTGTTGTTGCAAAGTGCGTTTACAAACGAATGATGTTGCTGCAAACAAGATGACCGCTCAAGCTGTCTACTTCAGTACTTGTAGAACCAGTGCGTTGAGGTCGTGTGACTCGTGTCCTTTCAAACAAACATTAGCCATTAGGAAGATCGTTGCTAGTAAAATACTACACTACAACGTACAGTTGTGGCAAGTTCCATGTAGCATGTAGCAGAGCTGTGTTTCCAATATCTCACCTATTTTGAAGCCAATATGCTAACAGTTCTTTTAGCCGATTTTCCAATATAATTATTCTAATTTGCAGCCGATTGTCGAACAATCCGCTGATCTTGCAGCAGGATCTGATGTATTTTTGAGCCGAGCGAAAAGCCGAAAAGCCGAAAAAATGGGCCGATTTGGGGAAAGCCTATGGAAATGTGTACTCGGATTGAAGACATTTTCAAGCTATGATGAGCACTGGTGTGTGTGTGGGGGGGGGGGGCGGCGGGTAGGGGATGGAGGGGTATTCCCCAGCGCATAAAACCGTAAATTGAGGCTGCATATCCACGTTCCAGATACTGGAGCTGGATTGTTTTCAATACTACTTCAGTAGTACTTCAAGAAGTAGTTCGATCAAAAAACGATGTAGTCTCTCTTCATTGTTGACTTAGCACTGAGGGTGGTATTTGCCACAAAACAGACATCAGAGACATGTCTTTTGGCCATGGTAACGGGTTTTCATGCAGTCCCGGCAAATGGAATACTTGATCGGAAATGAACATAAGTGACAAAAACCCATTTTGCACGAATTGAGGGGATCAGGTTTTCCGACCGGTCAAACCGCCTTACAAGGCCCTGGGAATGGATATACATGTAGAATACTTATACATTATCCTAAGTAAAATGGGGGAGGCTTCCTGCAGTTTCATATACAGTGAATTGAGAGTAGAGCCCACACGCTCTCTCAGTCCGCTTCAATAATTCAACTCATTTTATTAGTACGTTTTTTCGGCAAATTGCTTGCATCAGGTTCACGATGTGCAAGCCCTCAAACCAGCGCTGACAATGACATGTTGTAATAATGTAAAATTAGTTGAATCATTGCAGTGTTATTGTAAGAGAGCGTGTGGGCTCCATCCACTCTTAACTGTATTATATACTTTTACATTTGCCGAACTGTTGGAATTTTGTACAGGTATCTTTGAGACCTTTGACACCAACTTCCATGTTGGTATGGGTGGAACATTCCAAGGCGTGATACCAGGCATGGATCCATTATTTTAAATGATCCACAATTTCGTGAACAAGGTGTTGGCAAACTACCAGCAGCAAGGACCGGATCACTACACTGGCGGAGGACGTTGGAATAACACTAAAAGAGTGGCGAGTATGTTGATGTTGACGTAATTCAGCAAATACAGTCATAACATAAAGAATACATGAATGTAACATGGGAAATTGTGGCCACAAGTTATGCGATCGAATCCACCAACTAAACCAGATTTTGAACAGTCAGACGTCGCAATCTAGCACAACGAGTACTGAGACATTCCATGGCATGAAAGTCAGCTTGAGAACTGCTGGATAGCGCCAACCAACGCAGTACTCCCTGTCAGTTCTGTGCTAAATTGTGCACGTCTGACTGTTCGAAAATCTGGTTCAGTTGGTGGACTCGATCGCATAACTTGTGCCCACAATTTCCCATGTTACAAAACATTTTCCTTGGCTCACCATCTGAGTTTTACATGAATGTGTTTATTATTTTGTTTCTGTGTGTGTGTATGTATGTGTGTGTGTGTGTTTATGTGTGTGTGTGTGTTTATGTGTGTGTGTGTGCGGGTGTGTGTGTGTGTGTGGGTGTGTGGGTGTGTGTATGTGTGTTTGTGTGTGTATTTGTGTGTAGGGTCAACCTTATGCATTGTACCGGCACATGACTTTGTGATTGTGTAGACACGTAACATCATTAGCACTAAGTCCTACATCATTTTACATGTGCTGCCTGGCCACATTGCTACAAAAAGAGGTTATGTTGCGATGTGGTCAGGTAAATGAAACAACTCACAGCATGTTTGGGCGAGTTCCTGTCACTCGAGTTGAACCTTTGAACCTTTGAGTTGAACCTTGGTGTGAAAATTGTCTCCTGCTAGCGTGGTGACCAGGTGACTGGTGTACGCAGGAGCACGTGACCGCTTGTTCAACCAAGTTCGATTGGGAATAAGGGCCGAACGCTGCATCGCAGCCTTTTCGGACCAAAACTAGTCGACTCAGCGTCCAAAAGACTACACCATATGGGCCTATCGCGGTCATCCGTGCTTGTATAAGAATGAAATGGTGTTTTTAGTGACATTTTGTATACAAATCCCCATCTAGTAGGGCGCAGTCACCCAGTTTCGGTGGAAGTGCGCGAGTTAGATTGGGAATAAAGGGGGAAGGGAGCGTCTCAGCTTCCTCGGACCACGACCATTCGACTGAGCACCCCGAAAACTACAACTGGTGAAAAATTGATTTTAGGCTTACCTTCCCCTTTAAGGAATGGAAAGGCCTCCGGCTCGTAACAAGCAACATTGACATTTTTCAAAGAAGGAAAAGAGGAGAGTTTCTGAAGTACACCACAGTACAGTATCTGTAATCATTATCCAATGAACAAATAAACCGATGTTACTGACTGTTATGTTAGTATCGCAACCATGAGAACAAACTGTTCAGTAACCATTATTTATTATGACGACGACGATAATGAAAATGGGAGACAGGTGTGAAATGTATATGTAAAAGGGAAACAAAATGTTCAGAAAGGTGTTCTTGTCACGATCATCAGTGCATGTACATAACAATGCTAGAAATGGAGACTTTCCCACATTGTCCGGCATCTCCTGCCATCGCATCAGTATCCATGCAGCTCAAGGATTGTAATCTTTACAACCCTCGATTCTTTTGGTTGCTCGCCACACTCGAGATCCTTCCTTCCCGCCAACTTGACCTGACACTCGGCTGACTCACGACTTCCATCCAGGAATTAAACTTGAGCTCAATGTCGCGAGCACCCAGCCGAGTTCCTATAATTACACAAACATCGTTACCATTATTTTGTGTCTAGCCATAAAGTTAGCAGCTGATTATGTACTGTTGATAATGAAGTTAAGTTGTTATCATGTTCTCATGCAGATTTCCCTTGGTTCCGGAACGGGGAGTTCTTTGATGCTCAAAACTTTCCGAACGATGTGTGCGTCCGCTGGGATGCCGTGGCTGATCGAGAGAGGCTGATTGAGCTGGAATACTACGCAGGACTGGAAACACCACGGTCTGACCACCTATCTGTGTCCTATAAGGTTAGGCTGTGCTCAGATAGCACGTGAATTTGCCGTGTGCAAACCCGATATTGGCATTAGCATTCACAGCTAAACCAACATGTGCTCTGATGACAAAATGTGACTTACACCAAGCCTTTGGAGGTTTGGCCGGTTGCTTGCCACGTGCTTTAGCCAACAGTCCTGTGCCAGGCAAGTGCCAGTCTCTTGTCGGAAGTGCAAGCTCAAACCTTTTAAAAAGACAAGTAGCCTTATTAGAAATATTCCTATGGTTGTGTATTTCCTCACCATGCTCATCAAACTGGTACTTGAAGTTAAACTATAGAATACTCCCCAGTTTTACGGATCTGGTTGATCATGTTGATTATGCGAGGTTATTTTTGATGATTTATCATTTACAAAATTTAATGCAGTAAATGAGTACTGCAATGCATGTATGCGGATACATGAAACATGCCCGTGTATATTTCTGATGTGATTTGTTTCCAGGAGATGAGAAATAAGGACCTCGACACCAATGCCAGAGCAGACTATCTTCTGTATATTAGTCGTCTGAAGGAAAGATTTACATCCGCTGGATTCAAGTATGATGAAGATGGTTTGCAGCTAACTAAAGACTGGTAAGTCATTTCGTCCATCCATCCATCCATCTATCCATCCATCTATCTATCTATCTATCCATCCATCCATCCATCCATCCATCCATCTATCTATCCATCCATCCATCCATCCATCCATCCATCTATCTATCTATCAATCTATCTATCCATCCATCCGTCCATCTATCCATCCATTCATCTATCTATTCATCTATCCATCCATCTATCCATCCATCCATCCCTCTATCCATCCATCCATCCATCCATCCATCTATCTATCTACATGTATCTATCTATCACTCAAAGGGAGGACTCACATGACCAGCTCCAGGCAGTGCACAACCATAATAATTGTGTGTGTGTGTGTGTATGTGTGCACTCCCATTATGTGTGTGTGTGTGTGTGTGTGTGTGTGTGTGTGTGTGTGTGTGTGTGTGTGTGCGTGCGGATGCGTGGGCGTGCATGCATATGTGTGTGTGTGTGTGTGTGTGTGTGTGTGCCAGCTAGTTCGGTTGGTGGGTGCACTTATGCCAGATAGTGTAGGGCCTGTTGCCAACGGGCTCGGCTGCTTGAAGGTGTATTGTTGTACCTACCACCTTTGTTGGTTTCAGGGCTCATATACTTTCTGTTTGAAGTATACATACCTGTTAACCATGGACTGCTTCTGGCTAGATTAACTCTTGTGTGATCAATGGTGCTAGTGAAGCTTATATCAGATCCACTCTGATTTAGCCACCCACACTAGTACCAAGTATTACCTTCACTGGGGGCAGGGGTACCTGCAGTTGGATCCCGGGACGGATACCCTGATGCCGTCAATCCTTTTTCTGCACCTTGTCCTCACCCACTTACTGAGGTGTGGTGAGCCCATAAGTGGGATCATTTCAAGTCCACCCTAGTTTGGGGATTTCAGGGGGTGTCGGCCGTTGGGTGGTTCAATGGCCAATTGAGTCATCTTTCCAAGATTCCTTTTGAGTCTCTCTCCCCTCTCCCGGGGAGACCCACGTGGCCAGTTTTGGCAGTGAGCAAGTACAAAGTACAAAGTGTGTGTGTGTGTGTATGTATGTGTCTCTGTATGTGAATCTGTGCATACGTGTTTGTTGGGGGTCAAGACCAAAACTGGAATAGAATATACAATTAAAATAGGAGACATGGAAGGCCGAGAGTTATGAGCAAGAAGAGAAATGAAAATCACAAACAGGCGAGGCACAAGTAGAGAATGTGCCCACCAGAGCTAGTCAAGATAGAAATATTTTCACTTTTCCCAGCAAACTGAAGGAGTCCAGGGTGGTGAATTACGGCATCAGTGCCAGCGCCAGGAAGGAAGAGTGACTGCACCACAGATTTCCCAAGGAGATCCTATAGCAGTGTTAGTACATGTACTGTGGTTCATATTTTATGGGCAAACAAAACTTAAGTTGCAATTTATGGAGGAGTGGAACACAATTCAAGTGGCTCTTGAACTGTGTTTCCTACTGTTGTTTGTCTACAGGGAGAAAATCTTCATAACGCAAGGTAGCTTTGCAGCCAAGGATCTCCTGTCCATACCCGTCTGTGCGCAGTACTCTTCCCTGGACCCGGATTTCCTCAACACGACTATTGTGCCAGCTGCGGCTGAACTTATTCCTTAGCCGTTCTTGTTTATCACTATTAGTTTTTCATTAGGGTCTTCTTCGCGTAGACATCAATGCAATGTATATGCACAGCATGTATAGCAGGTGCGTCGGACACGGTACGGTCACTACGGTATTGACCGTACAACTTTTTGCCCAAGGTACCTCGTGAATCAATAATAATACACTGACCTGGACTCTAAATTTCCAAAATTTTCGGCTCAACCATCCCTCCCCCACGAGTAAATTGTACTTTAGATGGCTGACTGTACCACATGAAAATACTTTCCAACGCCCCTGTATAGCTTTTGCATCAGCCAAAAATTAGCTTTACAGCACATAAACCTATCCTTCCATACTGATTTGCCACGATTTTACATTGACAAGCATTCCCACTTTATTTTCAGAATCCACTCACCGGGTATTTCGCAACTTTGCGTGATTAAATCAAGAGTAGAGTAAGATACGTCACACTGCAGGGGAGTCCAACACAAGTAAGGAAAAGGTAGATCTACCCGAACCTTTTTCTTTTTTCGTTTGGGTAGATCTACAGGACTCCCTATCCAGCACTTACTGCTTGGTATGATCATGTGACGTACCATATTTTCTTTCCGGAGTATAAGCCGTACCCCCCCCCCCTTTTGGCACGAAATACAGACATCTACCTTGTTTATCACCTTTAGCTTGATCATCGGAGTATATAAGCCGTACCCCCGTTTTTGTGGGTGAATTTTGAGTGTGCAAAGTGCCGCATACTTCGGAAAATACGGCAGAACACACCACACATACGAGGTCTGACGTCGTGTCGCCACGAATGTCAAACCTTTCAAAGGTAGTCAGTGAATGGTTCAACATTATCTCTGATCGCAGTTGTTGTGAATTGAACTGCTGTGTCTGATCGTTGTTGCGAAATTGAAATGTAACAGCATAGGCGAGTACAGTGGTGATATTATATCAACCCAATTCTTCGTACCAGTATACATGTACTAGTAGTAGTACAGTGAAACAACTCCATGACGAGTCATTCACCTGAAGGAGCATGAACGAGTACATACAAGTCATATACATGTACAACAGAAAAATAACAGTCATTGCACTGCAAAACTTGCGTAATGCAAAGTTTGCGGACTACCACGTAGGCCTAGGTCCAGCTTTGCGGTGATCAATGGCTTGGCACGGTGTCATGTCGTTTCGACTGCTTCAAACCGCAACTTAAAAGAGACAAGCGTCCTATACTCGACAGTATGGTGCTTTTTACTGCATGCTTCAAACTAGTTTTTATGGCGTTGGTATGCCGAGGGCGAGGTCGGATGATGAACGGTATGGGGAGAACACAGAACTGCTGTTGACAAGATGTCATTGAGCTGTACCCCATCGGCCGTGCAGGGCCCGGTTCGAGTTCGCGTTTGAGGACTAGTACTACATGGAGCAAGGCCTGTGAAGACGACCCAGCAAGGGTGGCGAACAGCTGTACCTACTCTACTCTTCACCTTCTTGGAAAATACCAGTGTTGCTTGTGACCAGCCTGAGACCTTTCCACTCCTTAATTGCTCATATCCGTGTATAAGCACATGCACGGGCCCACATACACACACACACACACACACACACACACACACACAAACAAAGAACACATTCATGTATTCTTGATGTTATTACTGTATTGGCTGAATCACTTTGACATCAACATACTAGTACTCGTTTCTGATTTAGTGTTATTCCAACGCCCTCCGCCAGTGTAGTGATCCGGTCCTTGCAGCTGGTAGTTTTCCAACATGTTGTTCACGAAATTGTGGATCATGTAGAATGAGCGATCTACGCCTGGTATCACGCCTTGTAATGTTCCACCCATACCAACATGGAAGTTGGTGTCAAAGGTCTCGTAGAGACCTGTTACCTGTACAAAAATTCCAAGCACGTAGGAAAATGTAAAATGTGTAGGTACTCTTTATCAGTTTCCCAGGGCCTTGGCAGCCGGCTTGGCGGGTCGGAAAAACCTGATCCCCTCAGTTCGTGCAGAATGGATTTTTTGTCACATGCCTTCATTTCCGATCAAGTATACAATTCAGACCTCAACAAAACCCGCCACCATTGCCAAAAGACATGTCTGTGATATCATTCTGTTTTGTGGCACTGAACACCACACTCAGTTCTAATTCAACAATGAAGAGAGAGTACATCTGTTTCTGATCCAACTACTAAATTAGTTACTTACTGGAGAGTAGTTGGCTGAACACACCCATTCCCAAAGCACTGCAAAGCACGTTTCGCCAATATTGCCATCGTCAGTTACGATTGAAACAATGAATGAATCAATCGTACCTGACGATGGCAATACTGCCGAAACGTTGTGGTGCAGTGCTTTGCGAATGAGTGTATCCACCCAACCACTCTCTACGAAAGAATGTGAAAGATGCCTCAAAGTTACTTCTCAACTACTGCTTAGTACTGCTCTCCTTGCATTCATATCATCTTTGCTTTGTGCGTTCAATAAAACACCTTTTACTTTTAGTAGCAAAGCGTGCAAGGGTAGGAAAGCGCGACATTAGTGTGACATTTCAAGTTAGTGAAACATGGTGCGGATGGCGTCAGTTTTTACATTGGAGGTGAAAAGGAGGGAGAGAAGGAGAGGTGACAGTTTAGTTACGGTGATGGCAGGCATGCCCTGGACCTGGTGGCAGTGAGCAGGTGCTGGTGGCGGCATGCGCAGGTGACACCAGTGTCGTAAGGTGAGAGGTAGAACTTATTCTGGTGTCGATATTTTGATACGTCTCACTAACTTGAAAAGTCACACTAATCATCTAATGTCGCGCTTTGCTACAGTCCTTTGCGCGCTTTGCTTTGCTAGCCAGTTGTCTCCGTTCTCTTCTGCCTTTGTGAAACGAAACCTCTCCCTGCCCTTGCCTGCTTGCACACATTCCAGTTCTTCTTCTTTTGCAGATCAGCAGGATCCGTAAATAGCAAAGCTCTCCGTCCTCGACGGCATGCGGGCCTGATGCGGCACAGAACCAGTGCATGACTACATTCACTAGTATTCGGAGCTAACAGTACTACATGAGTACTAGTAGTAGTAGTATTAGTAACACACACGCCTAGCCGGTAGTAGTTGAACGCCTGGTGTCACAAGTAACTTGTTATTCTGGAAACTAAGAATAACAGTTACTGATAACTAGATCCGGTACTGAAAATTCTTTTGCAAGGGTTTCGCTCTTGGCGGTGAACCTGTGCGGCGAGTACGTGGCTGTCCGACTTACTGAGATGAGAACCTCGTCGACTGCCAGTGTGATGTGGATTGTTCCTTCGCTAACTGTACTGCTTCTTCTTGAAGCTGGGCTGCTCGCCAAATCTATTCCCGCACCGAACTGGGATGGAAAGGACCACTCTGAAATTCTCAAAGACCTGGTGCTGAACTACGAAGATCATACCCGTGACCCACGGGAGAATACTGGTAAGTAACGACCTACTAAACTCATTGAGGAATTCTATGGCACGTTCGTCCTTCATCTCTGCCGCATTGCTGTCCGGAGTGCAGAAGGATGTTTTTGTTTGATTTTTGTTTGAAGTTTTATTTTACATCGCAAACCAAACGGGCATTGATGCCCAATACATGTATTACTATGATGTTATTTCCAGAAGCATGATTTGTTCCGACAGCAATCCTTTCCACAATGTGCACCATGCATTACCCATCACTTCCTGAAGACTACAGGTATAAGGTTGGCGGTTATAGTAATATACCGGCTATAGTGTTATCAGCTTCAAAATTCAAAAGCAAAAGTATCTGCTTTTAACGACCGCTTTCCCATGCACGGACACAGAAACTGCACCGGATACAGCGACCACCTGCCTTGCGGGACCAGCGACCACCTGCCTTGCGGGACCAGCGACCACCTGCCTTGTGGGACCAGCGAACCACGTTTAGTGTACAAAGTGCCATATTGGACCTGCACACAGGAACCAAAACTAACCAAAAGTGCCTGAACAGAAAGTGCTAGATAACCATAGAGTGGTAACCACAGCCAGAATTTCTTCGTAAAGGTCGAGGAGAATAAGACTAGCAGATAGCGACAGGAGAGTTTGGTTTCTGCAGGTCGTCACCTAATTTCCTAATACTTTGACAACATAAATGTACATGTCTCACAAAGTCACATTTAGGGTTCCCAGTAAACAGGCAACATTGGCTGTTGGGAAATCCCAAACAAATAAGAAATAATAATAGTAATATGTATGTGCTTTGCTAGGCACCATTGCTAGCAAGAGTACCTAACCCCCAAGAGTGTAGAACTTCAGCTAAGGGCTCTGCTATGGCAGAAAATCACATCAAGTGACAAACCCATACACGTAATAGAGAGGTTCCACACAACGTAATATTACGTTAGTCAACATGTAGTCGATCTACTGAAAGTCTTACTACAAATTCTGATCCGTGTTCCGCACTACGGAGTTTCGAATCACGTGGCTGCCATTGGCAACTCCGAACACGACAGTGTCCGAACTAGGGAGAGAGTCATAAATGTATACCCCAATCCACTTAGACTTACCTCCGTTAGTAGAGCTCCATTAACGTACTCTACGTAGGCAAGTTTCCGTAAAAAAAAATTTATTGTGTCCGTTCCAAAAGGGAACTCACGACGGCTGCTGACACTGGTAACTTTCCGTAAGTGGACTGCAAACTCAAGAATTCACAGGGTTTTCCCGCCCACTTACGTAAAGTTGCTTAACTTTACGTAGTGCGGAACCTCTTCATTAGGTGCATGACAAATACAGGGTCACCGTACACAACCCTGCGTTGAGTTCAACTCTCTTGTTGTCACTTTCAGCCGCTTGTTCATCAGCATAACGTTTTGAACCACATAATGTTTTGTTGAATTCTGCTGTCGCAGCACTGTATAGGGGTTGCGCAGGTAGTTGCACGCTCTTGAGGTTATGTACTCTGGTTGTTAGTACCGTAAAGTACCGAGTTCCACGAAGTGTGTACAGTGTGAGAACCATAGTGTGTACTAAGGTCACACTAAGGCGGCTTCTGTGTGGAGCTAGTGTCCGCTCGAAGGTACGGATTGTCTGCAGAACGTGCAATATGCGTACAAAGTTCATGTCGTATGACCTACACTGTAACAGACAGGAGACCACCTCCACAATACGACCGAGAAAGGGCAAGATGGTGTGGCGCTCTGGCGGTACTTTACGGTAGTGCTATTTTGATTCTTTAATATAGTTACATGTACACTGAAAAGGCACCAAATGCCCTGAGAATGCTTGTTATTGGCTTTAATTTTGAAAATGTCCCAGGAGCCCCCCCCCCCCCCCCCTTAAAGGGGAAGTTAATGCAAAAATTAAAATTTCACCAGTTGTAGTGTTCGGGGTGCTGAGTCGAATGGTCGTGGTCCGGGGAAGCTGAGACGCTCCCTTCCTACTTGAATCCCAATCGAACTCGCACACTTCCACCGAAACTGGGTGAGTGCGCCCTACTAGATGGGGATTTGTATGCAAAATGTCACTAAAAGCGCCATTTCGTTCTTATAAAAGCACGGATGACCGCGATTGGCCCATATGTTGTAGTCTTTTGGACGCTGAGTCGACTGGTTTTGGTCCGAAAAGGCTGCGATGCAGCGTTCCTCCTTTATTCCCAATCGAAAATGGTTGAACAAGCGGTCACGTGCTGCTGCGTACGCCAGTCACCTGGTCACCGTGCCTGCAGGGTACATCTTGCTAGCCAGTTTGACCTTTTTTGGGTGCAGTCCTGTCACTCGAGTTGAACCTTGGTGTGAAAGTTGTTGCCTGCTGGCGTGGTCACCAGGTGATTTGGGCACCCAGGAGCACGTGACCGCTTGTTCAACCATGTTCAATTGGGAATAAAAGAGGAACGCTGCATCGCAGCCTTTTCGGACCAAAACCAATCGACTCAGCGTCCAAAAGAGTACAACATATGGGCCAATCGCGGTCATCCGTGCTTTTATAAGAACGAAATGGCGCTTTTAGTGACATTTTGCATACAAATCCCCATCTAGTAGGGCGCAGTCGCCCAGTTTCGGTGGAAGTGCGCGAGTTCGATTGGGATTCAAGTAGGAAGGGAGCGTCTCGGCTTTCTCGGACCAAGACCATTCGACTCAGCACCCTGAAGACTACAACTGGTGAAATTTTAATTTTTGCCTTAACTTCCCCTTTAATTGTTTGTCGCTCAGCCTCCAAAGGTGGTTTGACGTGCCTGTTCACTGCAATGCCATTCGCTGTGTTGCCTGATTGCTGCGCAGAATGCAGCGTCAATGCTAGCTACACTGGCCAGTGTAACCTGGACTGTCAGTGTGTGGATGGCAAGTGGAAATGCTGTCGGCTGAGGAAGAGTGTGAAGAACTATTACTTATCTCCATTGCGCGAAATCGCGCATATATGAGCGACATCCACATAAACTACTGGGACCATGGTTGTGTACTCGAATCTCATTCTGAGCACCCTTTTTTCTTCCTTTTTTCAGCCGTTTTTTGCAAAAAGTCCTCGAGCTCGACTTTTTTTTATCGATCGTTCTTCAAGGAAAGACGAGTGGACAATCGATCAACAGGGCCGAGGGCAAATGCGTCTGGTTGGAGTTCTTGCGTGGCACAGGATGACCAGACACACATATAGATACATTGCGACGATCTTATCTGCACAGTGTTACCTAATACCGCACCCACGACGGTAAGTACAATTCATGTGATTTCAAATTGTTTGTGATCTACAACGTCGCGAGCAGGACGGAAATACAGCAACAGCACGACAACCGTTATACCAGGCAGTAACCAACAGTCACCTCCGTCACATTCTCCAGATCAGAAGGCAAGTGAGGCAGTGAACATGAAGAAATAAAGTATGAAAGAATGAAAAGTGAATAATTCAAAAATCTCAGGAACGTTGAACGTAAAAAACACTGAGAACAAGAAAAGTGACTTACTTCGATGGCAAAAGACAAAGCGAACGTTCCTCGTATGGACCTGGCTCTTGCGGAATCAGCCACACTGTGGAACCATGTGTTTGATTCCACAAGGGATGGCTACCTGCTCCTCACCAACCAGCCTCCACGACGGTGGTAAAGTCGCCAAAAATACGAAAGTTGAACATTGTGTGCATGCATGCAATAGAAAATTTGTGCTGAGTATGTCGAGTGGCCATTCGCACAGGACAAAGCCGTTGCGCAAGCTGTGACCCTGAAATTTCGTCCATTGGTAGCGAGGGTAACCCTGAGCTGGAAAGTGTAAGGGATGGCATGCTACACTCCCCCGCATACGCTTGACAGCACGATTTGAGGCGTGGAGTAGTAATATACCAGTATCTTACTACCCCCTGATACCTGATGCATGGACGTCGTCATCTTCATCCCGCAGATCGAAAATGTACAGATGTCGTGTGATTTCGCGCAATGAGGTAGTGTGAGAATGGCCCTTTTTTCCCCCACACCTTTTCCCTTTTGACATTTCTGCTGTTTACTGGAATATGCTGCAATCGACAATGGCATGGAGGTGATCTGGCCCTGAGTTCAAGCTCTCTCTCTCTCTCTCTCTCTCTCTCTCTCTCTCTCTCTCTCTCTCTCTCTCTCTCTCTCTCTCTCTCTCTCTCTCTCTCTCTCTCTCTCTCTCTCTCTCTCTCTCTCTCTCTCTCTCTCTCTCTCTCTCTCTCTCTCTCTCTCTCTCTCTCTCTCTCTCTCTCTCCCTCTCTCTATCCTTGATGTACACTTTGGGTGACATAATAGGTTGAAATTGACTTACACGTTGACAGAGTCATCTTCGATAGTAAATGTTAGAGTGAGTGTGCATCCAGTTATCTATAAGCCAGTGTTACCCATCAAATTGTTTTGATATGTGCTACTCTTTGAGACATGCCCTGCTCTACTTGAGATCGAAACTCAATAATATAACTTTTGGAGACATCATTATTTGAGTTAGCCAAGGTGGATACTGGCGGATAGTGGACAATGCTCCCGAAATTGGCAAATTCTGCTCAAAAAGCAGTGAAATGGCAGTTCTGCTCTTCTTCGATATCTACAATTTAGTACTTTTCTGGAATATCTGGTATATTATACAAAACATGCATGGACATACCAGAAAAGTACCAAATTCTGTTGGTTTTCTACTGGCATTATCCACCAGGAGCTAAATAATTGAAGGCGTATACAACATTGTCGAAGTGGGGTTTAAAAGCACTGCCGAGCACTGCCGAGCACTGCCGAGCACTGCCGAGCTCATAATCATGTACATAGTATATTTCCACAACTACAAAAATGCTCCTGTGTTTACTTCCATGCAGGGATGAATTTATCCGGTATCGCATCGCAGTTTGCGATTCAAAATCGATCGAGTGCGACTCAAAAATCACAGCGACTCGCAGGAAACTGCGATGCATAAACGGCATTGCATACTAGCTCGCGCAGTCAGTAAAAGTGATGCTATGACTATGTTGTACACTCACTACACCCGTACAGTGCACGGACCCCGCTTTTTTTCTCGGGAAGGTACTAGGTGTGATTTCTAGTACATGTACCTGTGAACTGTGGCTGGCTCCGCGTGCACATACTGACTGTACTGGTGTCCTACTTGAACTACACGTACCACTTTGCGCGGCTTCATTCAGTAAGTTCAGTAAGTTCATGGACTTTCCGTACTGACAAGCATCCCGCATCCCGGCGGAGGTCTTGTTTTTTCTTCTTTCTGGTTCACTTACCTCTTTTCGTGATAGCTTTCTGCTTGTAGCCAGTCGGTCTTTCTGGTGGTGAGGAAATTCTGGAATCACGTTCGTCCTTCTCTCTGACAATTGTCCAAGCTGTAGTTTTTGTCTAGTCTGGTTCTGCCTCCAACATGTCTGTACGACAGAGTACCTTTGAGAAGTGGGTGGCAGAGGTCGATGTCGAGAAGAAATGGCTTCGTTCTGAGAAAGCAACAGGTGCAGCGGTGACGCTAATTGTATGTGAAATAACGGTCCTGGATGGACTTTTTCGTGGAAGAAAAAGTGCTAATCAAAAATCAAGGACTGCTACGCATTTTGACGTTTGCGTCGCGAAAACTGCTATGCAAAAAAATGACAGTAAATTCATCCCTGCCATGGATTATATGAATGCTTTCCGGCTTGCTATTCAGGAGCAGAGAGATAGATTTACTCGTGCATACTTGACAGCTGCTAAGAATGAAGTATACCAGCCAGCCATGCGCTCCATACAATGGTCGCATGCCATGTTCTTCTGCAGAAAGATAACCAAGTCATTGTATACACATAACGATGCCACAGGCTATCACAATTTGCTTTTGTTTGCCATGGAGAACCTGCTACGCCTGATTGACTGCCGGGTTACTATTCCCTACTGGGATGTATCACTGGAGTATGGTAAGGTGAGTATCTCCTATCCGTCACTCCTTAAATAAGGTGGCTGCTATGCTGTGAACAACCTGTCAGTTACTCTTGTCACATGCAGAGCCTGAGGTACTGTCGTTGTAGACTACTGTACATAGGGATGGGGTCTAGGAGAAGGCATAGACTCACTACTGTACATAGGGATGGGGTCTAGGAGAAGGCACAGACTCACTACCGTATAAGTAGCATTTTCCCAAAAGTCAACTCGTAATCCGGACCCAAAGCCACTTGCAAAAATGTAGCCCGCAAATACACAGAACTGATGAGGTTTAGCTGATGTGGGAGAGTATGCCAGAAAACCACAAAAGTGACCCTAAGCATGTGTGGGAGAGCGCAAAAAGAGGAAAGTTTCGAGATGAACTTGTGACATGCAACATAAAATACTAGGTGTCTATCATTTAGCCAGCCCCCACCACAAGCAAGAAAGGATTTTCTCAGGGTTTCGAGACACAAATACAAGGCCTGTGTTGTGTTATGCAGTTGGAACTACTAGTAGGTATTTTGGCAACTACTCTTCGAACAGGCTAGATAATATCAAACACGGACGCGGGGTCCATCTGGAACCAGGACACATATTTTTCGATTCTCCAAATAGTTCGAAGATTTTATTGGTTCCTATAGTCCATTATGGAGCTGAAAGCAGAAATTTCCCAAGCTGGAAGCGAAATATTCCCCTTGAACTTCCGACATTATCGCAAATTGTACAAAAATATGATGTTCGTTGAACGATCGCTGAAACCATATTGAGCAAGCAAGGCCTTGACCTTTTTGTGACTTCTGTGGCCGCAGCGGGAACCTTCGGCAACTAGCTTGTGTTGTAGCCGCACCAGGTGCTGAAAGCTTTAGAAATCCACGCAATATCAAAGCTCCCTGGCTTTGGCCAGCGAGGTAACAAGATGTTACCACGCGTCACTGGAAATGAAGACTCACACGGTCGGTATTGAGCTATCTAAAGCATAGGAGATGCTTGGATGCCTTCTCATTGGCGATGCATGCAGCCAGGCTTGTTGGAATGCCTGATGATAATTCCTGCAACCTACATCTTTATGTTATTACATTCTGCGACAGAGCTCTCGGCCATTGAAGAAAATGTTGATATCACCTCCACCACTACACTGCGCTCTCAGCGTCAACGGAAGTGTCCTCGTAGTGGTGATGGCTGTGTGCAGGAGGGTCTAGTCGGCTGAGAGCGCAATGTAGTGGTGGAGGTGATATCAACATTTTCTACATTTTATGGGCAAAAAATTGCCCGGGGGCACCGTCGCGTCCTTCCCTTGACGGTGTATGTTGAATACAATTTATCGAGGTTATCCACCGCATCCCGGTTTGTACTTTTGTAGTGCAAGATGATCTCAGGGTTCTGCTGTTTGTCTTCCTTAAACATCGATTTTCAGAATGAATTGAAGAGAGCTAAGCTATGGGCGATGAAAAATATACCACCTATTGTACATGTCTATGATGTAGTTTTCTGGGGTCCAGACGGACCTCACACATTATTTCCGAAATAAAATTGAAACCAATCATGTAATTCTAACCCAGACAATTTTATCACCTCTGATATCTACTTGTTGAGGAATACCTGGAATTTCAGGGAGATACAATGAAGGAATATAGAGATATGCCAAAATCTATACCCCTTAAGCGGACCCCAAAACTTGGAATGAGGGTTAAATAAATTGCTCACACTACTTCTTGTAACCACAGTGTGATTCCGTTGCCTAGTGCTACTTGTTGTAAAACTATACTTTAAAACATGAGTGCATGTAGTCGTACTCCGGTTTCTCATGTCCATCAAAAACCATTAATTTTGTCAAGGTGCACTGCAAACATTTCATAGCACGGACAACCCTATACCAGCACACATGCCAGTCGTCTCTTTTCTGCAAATTTTCTAATTTTAATCTCAATCAATCAAGTTTTTTGGCCAGGTGCTGCCATTGTCATAAACCAGGCGACTTACCAGTAGTCTTTCGGTCTGTGCATTTTCTATTGTTTTTGTTCAGACGTACTTAGAGCAAGTACCTGAAGGTTTTGGTGGCACAGGAGTGGCTCCTGATTTCTGTGTAGTTGATGGACCATACAGAAAAGGTAATTGAGCTTCCAGCATCAATTACGACTACGGTTTAAATGCCCTATCTTCCAAGCTGGTATCTAAATGCATGGTAGGATCATTGAAGATGGTCCCTTTAGGCAACAATTGGACAACCCGTTGAAGACCAGTGCACGTGCCCTGGGACGTGGTGGGAAGTGATTACAGGTGGAATCCTGATATTTCGAACCTCAACATGCCAGGAAAAAACTTCTAATTAGGCCACCCAGAATTAATTCTTTGTTTCGGGTCACCCGACCGACCGTCTTTTTTCACCCGACTGCAAAATGTTTGTTTTTTTTGATTGTGCATGCAAATGTACGTGTACATGACTAGGCTATGTACACACGCGACCCTAAAATAATAATAGCAGTGACTGAGTCCAGACGTCGATCACAGAGTCAGAGTCAGAAGCAGCCAAATGACAGGCTGCAGGGCTTGGTGACGACGTTGTATATTCTCCGATCCGCGATCGGTCCTGAAACAACATCAGCTCCGCCACCGTGTCGCTCATTGACAGAAGTTTTTGTGGGAGCTGCTCGTCAGACTCGTTTGCTAGCGAGGTCAAGATCTGGTCCTGGAGCTAGCTGGGGACCTAGATCTTAAGTTAAGGCGCTGGATCGTCTAGATTTGATCGACTGGCTTGATGGACAAGGCTATTCGATAATTATTATGTATGCGCATGGCCATATGGCGCGCATGGCAGTAGCCAAAATAAAAAATATAATAAAATAAAAAATAAACCCGACCGAGCGACCCTGGTACGGATGAGTGATGTGACCCGAAACAACGATTTAATTCTAGGTGGCCTTATCCAGACAATCTCATTATCCAAACATGAACCCACAACACAATATGTATGTCAAAATGCACCTTAGACACAGATTTCGTGGATACTGAACTGACCGGCACAGCCTGCTCATGCAAACTGAACTGACCAGTACAATCTGTATTCTCTCCCCGCCATCGTCTTTGTTTCCCTAGCCCCAGTCAAACCAGTGATCACAAAGAAGTATGGAGAAACATGCTTTGTATGCTATAGGAAGCGAGTATTATTTTGGTTTTTGTATCACATACTAGACAAGACACTGTTCACAGATAGGACTAACCTGTCATATCTTACTGATGAATGGCTTATTTACAAAGGCCATCGAGATGTTCTTGTTAATTTCGCATGTCCAGACAACGAATTCTGTGCTGGCATATTATGAAGAATTGATATGTCTTGTAATGATGATACGAGATCTCCAGCACTAGCGCCCATTAAATTCATAATGGCTTATCTCTGTCGTTCTTCACAGGAGAATACAACATTCTAAAGTTCATTCACAATGGTGTGGAGTTGCCCTACACGTCATGCTTGACACGGAATATGTCCTCCACGATGAAGCCTACATCATACCTGGAGTTCCAAACCATGTTGACTGAGCCTCCAGACAGCTCTATGATGTTTGAGCTAGGTAAACTGCGCTTTGTGATGTAATAATTTTGAACAGGGAACGTGAGCTGGGTTTAAACCATTGTGAGAGAGGAATCCTTTTCAAAGCAAAGAAATGATGCACTACCACCTTTGGTACAGAACAACTTGATGTCGTATTGCCGGAATGCTAGAATTTGTGTTATTGTAAATTTGTAATAATTATACTCCAGTAGTAGTACTCTGTGTAAATCATTCCTGATTGAAACGCCAGTCCAGTCCCTTTTCATGCCAGTGCTAGTCACCAAGTTTGCAGTAGACTAAGTATGTGTGTATGGTGGGGGGGGGGGGGAGAGAGAGAAGGAACGGCTACAAGTCCATGACACTAGTGACTGAAAACTCCCACAAAGAGAGGAGCCTTGTCTTTTTGGCGTTCCGATAACGACCGGTGGATTGTGTAATGCCTCTGGCCTTGGCTGACTAATCGAGGGGGTGGAGGGGTATTCCCCAGTGCTTAACCATAAATAGAGGTTGCATGTCCGCGTTCCAGATACTTGAGCTGGTTTGTTTTCAATACTTGTTTGTAGCTGAGAAGTAACTTTGAGGCATCTTTCAGATTCTTCCGTAGAGAGTAGTTGGGTGGACACACCCATTCCCAAAGCAGTGCAAACAGAGCCAATTATTTTACCGATGAAGGTAAAGTGAGCGCACTCATATCACGAAAACAATGGAACAATATTAATTTTTAAGGTCTGAACCTCGTTCTCATATGATAATTATCAGAAATCGTCATCACACTGAGAGTTGGACAACAAAAGGAAAGATATTTGGCCAGTAATCTACGAAAATCACCCTTTGGTGACTTTTTGGCAAAAATGAGTTTTGTCATGGAAAACAATCACATATCCATGCTACTCAAAATACCGAAGTTTCAGGGCAGTCTGACCGCTCCTTGCGGATATATGAGGTGGTTTGTTTAGGACACTCCAGTGCAGAATTTGGGGAAATAGCCCAAAAATTTGCTGATGTTTTCTGCTTTCGTGATGCTATTTTACAGGCACTGAGAGAAGAAAAATAACTACTGTTGACATGACAATGTCGACACAAGTCCAATTAGGGCTCTTCTGGCAGTGAAGCACCTGCTGCTAGCTCTGGCCAGGTAATAATCTCTATTCTCCTCATGGCAGTGTTGTCGAATCTGCTTATAGAGGTATTCTGCACGTTAGTTGGGCAATCCTGCCGGCGGGATACTTGGAGGCGGACCAGCAGGCAATAAGGAGGCAACATGAACAGTAGACTTCAGTACAGTAAGTGTGTGGTCATCCAGAGTGGTCTATCCGAACTGGACACTCTTGATTGTATGCTCTGTCGCGTTATGTGCATAAATAAACAGAGCCTTGCACACTGCTGTTCCAGCAAAAGCATACTCAAACGTAATCCGACCTCTGACGCCAGCTTGGGCTGCCGCCACGTGATGAGACACTTCACCACGTCTCGCTAGAGCTTCCAGCTTCCCAGCAGGCAGCACAAACTCTCGTTGCTTAGCTCCTAGCACGCCGCCAAGTTGCGAACGCGCAGGATGTCGTCAGGTGCGACGTTGGTGAAGCAGTTCGCACCCTAACACCCACAGCCTTTCTCAACGCCGGCGACAACGTCTTCAAGTGTTGATACAGTCGCAGCTTGACCTTCTCGCTTTCGCTTACCGGGACCACTTGCAGCTAGAGGCTGATCGTCCTGCGCTGGCGCCGCTTCATCAACATTTTCCTCCGCATCACTCTGTAGCGCTTCTGCCGTAGCGAGCTCAGTTGGCTCGTCGTCAGGACTCTCATCTGAGCACTCGATGTCGCTCCCAAAAATCATCGTCCATGGTCCAGGAGGGCAAAGGTATCATCCACCGAGAAGCCTATAACGGTTTGAGCCAGCGATCACCGTCTTCCACCTTCCGCCATCGTGACTGTTCAAAGACAACCAGTTACCTGCTGTCAGAGTTTGCGCTTGGTCACGCTTCAGTGATCAATCTTTAATCGCGATTTTCTCGAAAAATTTACATCTCACCGAAGGGTGATTTTCGCAGATCGCCGGCCATTTATGGTACCATAAAGTTAACATTATTAGATCTAAAACTAATACATGGACAAGAAACACAAGAAACACTGATATTCTAAAGCTAGCACTATTGGAGGCGTGATTACATGAGCAGTGAGCAATGTGATAGCAATACTTAGTGTATATTGGAGAAATGAGGGTGAGAAAGGTACATGTATGTGAGTGGGTATGTGAGTATCCAATAGTGCTAGTTTTAGAATATTAGTGTTTCTTGTATTAGTTTTAGATCTAATATTGTTCACTTTATTGTGCCATAAATATCTTTCCTTTGTTGTCCAACTCTCAGTGTGATGATGATTTCTGAGGATTATCACATGAAAACGACGTTCAAATCATAAAATATTGTTCCATTGTTTTCGTGGTACGAGTGTGCTCACTTTACTTTCATGGATATTTGGTTTCTTGCCTCCACGCCGACTTTTTAACAATTCTTTTACGTACAACGTTTCAGCAATATTGCCATCGTCAGGTACGATTGATTCATTCATTGTTTCAATCGTACCTGACGATGGCAATATTGCCGAAACGTTGTAAGTAAAAGAATCGGTTCCATTTGCAGTGCTTTGGGAATGGGTGTGTCCACCCAACTAGTCTCCAATTAGTTGTTGGATCAGAAAAATATGTTGTCTCTCTTCAGTCTTCATTGTTGAATTAGCACCGAGTGTGGTGTTCAGTGCCACAAAACGACATCGCAAACATGTCTTGTGGCGGTGGTAGCGGGTTTTCCCGCGGTCCGAATGGTATACTTGATCAGAAATGAAAATAACATGTTATTTCCTTATGTGACAAAAAGCCCATTTTGCACGTATTGAGGGGATCAGCCGAACCGGCTGCCAAAGCCCTGGATAAAGAGTACAATACGGATCGGGTATAGCGTTGGTGTTTGATTTTCGTGAAAATATCACTATGGCGATATAATAATTAATACTACAGGCGATATGCATACTTAGGTATGCCTGACACATGCGTGTATGATGTCATTCGAATCAGTGACTGTGCAGTACGCGCAGTGCAGAGCTACTTCCTGCGGAAACAAAAACTTCATGACTTTTTTTACATGAGTTTTCAAGCTGTGCTCAACAAATGATTATTGTGTTCTTTCAGAAGAGAAACACTTCAACACGTTCAATCGACATATCAACAATATCTACAGGATCGATTAGTGGGAGTAGAGTCTCAGTTTGGGTCGCCATCGCTCAACTCATCACCGCTGAAACGGTTCCAAGTGGCAGGTTGATCGACGCGTGATGTCGTATGTCACGGAGAAGCTTCTCCACGTCCCTGATCGTCTTCGTTGTTTTCCGAATGCCTTCTCCAACATCTCGGCGGAGACCACGGTAGCGCTTCAGCGCTGGTACTTACTACTGCCTCCACTCTCGCTCGAGGATGCCCCGGAGCACAGCCAACGCAAAACATTTCGAATTTCCTCTGAGGGATATCATAGTCGTACCAGCACTTCCCGACTGCCGCGAATCAGATCTCGCCCTGGACGATGTATAATTTTTTATGATCATCATTATAGCCTATGAAAAATGTATGCAATAAAATCATTTTGACAAAGAAATCGTATCATTGTAGCCGATAATATAATACTATAGCCGATTATTACTATAGCCGATCCGATATGTGTAGAAAGGGGTGGTTTACGAAAATGAATTTGAAAATACGATCGCTATAAGAGGTATGTTACTATAGCCGACAACCCTATAGCCGACAACCCTATAGCCGACAACCCTATAGCCGACAACCCTATAGCCGACAACCCTATAGCCGACAACCCTATAGCCGACAACCCTATAGCCGACAACCCTATAGCCGATCCGAACTGTACCTACTAGTACACATTTTACATTTTCCTATGTGCTTGGAATTTTTGTACAGGTCTCTATGAGACCTTTGATACCAACTTCCATGTTGGTATGGGTGGAACATTCCAAGGCGTGATACCAGGCATGGATCCATTATTTTACATGATCCACAATTTCGTGAACAAGGTGTTGGCAAACTACCAGCAGCAAGGACCGGAGCACTTCACTGGCGGAGGACGTTGGAATAACAGTGCGCCAGTGGGAAGTATGTTGATGTTGACTTGTGTGTGTATATGTTGTGTGTATGTTTGTGTGTCTATTTGTGGGTGCGTGTGTGCGTGTGTGTGATGATACACGGATATGAGCAATCAAGGAATGGAAAGGCCTCCGGCTCATCACCAGCAAGATTGACATTTTTCCAAGAAGGAGAAGAGTAGAGTTTCTGAAGTACACAACAGTACAGTATCTGTAAACATTATGAAATAAACAAAATGTTACTTACTAGTTGTAAGTTAGTTAGTATCGCAACCAAGAGGACAAACTGGTCAGTAATCATTGTTTATTATGACGACAATAACGAAAATGGGAGACAGGTGTGAAAATGATATGTAAAAGAAAAAAAGTTCAAAACAGTGTTCTCGTTACGATCATCAGTGAACGTACGTAACGATACTGTTGTGTATACTTTCCCACATTGTCTGGCATTTTCTGCTATCGCATCAATATCCATGAAGCTCAAGTATTGTAATCTTTACAAACCCGGCTGAATTCGTTTTGGTTGCTCGCCACAATCGAGATCCTTCCTTCCCGCCAACTTGACTTGACACTCGACTGACTCGCGACTTCCATCCAGGAATTAAAAATTGAGCTCAATGTTGCGAGCAACCAACCTTCCTTTAATTAATGCCAGCGTCATGACCACTGTTCCGTGTCTAGCCATGAAGTCAGCAGAAATATGTACTGTTGGTAATGAAGTTAAGTTTTTACCTTGTTCTCATGCAGCTTTACCGTGGTTTCAGAACAGGGAGTTTTTAGACGCTCAAAACTTTCCGAATGATGTGTGCATCCGCTGGGATGCTGTGGCTGATCGAGAGAAGCTGATCGAGATGGGATACTACGCAGGACTGGAAACACCACGGTTGGACCACACAGCGTTGCCCTATAAGGTTAGCCGTGATCAGATAGCTCCTGAATCTGCTGTGCAAACCCAGTATTGACATTAGCCATCACAGCTAAAGCAATGTGTGCTCTCTTAAAACAAAATGTGACTCAAAGGGGAACTGTCACCAAAACTTTTCTTTGTCTTATCTTGTAGTTCTTTGGCTCCTGATCACGATGGTGTTATTCGTTTTTCTCTGCAATGACTAGAAGTGGGTGAAAACTTGAAAAGAAGGTCCCCAAAATTGTCCCAAAGTACCGAGTCACGCCGGACTTGACCTCCACGCGTACATTCATCGTCAAAAACGAAGTCCAGCCCGTGTGCTGGTCGATCGAGCCAACTGTTCGATGTACGGTGCACGCTTGCCTTCTGAACTCGGACACTCGATGTGTACGTTGTACACAATGAGAACGCCAAAAAGGGACAAAATAAACAAAAGTCGACAGCAGTTTGTCGCACTGGTACTTCCTCCACGAAGCTCCAGCTCTTTGTTTTATTTGTCATTACGAAGGAGTGGAGGATGTTTGTTTGCTGTTAGTGTGACACACATACCTCGTGCTTGAAAATGATGTCGTTGTATCGAAGCCGAAGGTGGCGGTGTTGCCCACTCGGCTCTGAAATGAAAGACGTCAGAGTTTGTCATCTGCATCTTCAGCAACATCGCCAGATGAATCGCCTTCACGTACCTACATTGCGTTCCTTTGGGGATCAGGTTGGTGGTGTTATGGCTGGCCGGAAGAGTAATGTTTTCTGCATATGCACTCATCATCGTGTTGTTCCTCACACGAAAAGTTCGAAACAACGACGTACTTCCGTGCTCACAAAATAAAAACTTAGATCCTCGTGGAAGAAGTCAAAAAGGTGAAAGCTCAGCTGCTTTTTATTTTGATTTGGCTGTGCAGCTGCGGGTGGGTCTCTGCCTCTTTGGCATTCTCCTTCGGTACGACGTACCCATCTGTGTTACAGTTCAAAAGGCACACGTGCACCGTACATTGGAACAGCTAGCTCGATCGACCAGCACACGGGCTGGACTCCGTTTTTTTGACGACGAATGTACGCGTGGAAGTCAAGTCCGGCGTGACGTCACTCGGTACTTCGGGACAATTTTGGGCACCTTCTTTTCAAGTTATTGCCCACTTCCAGACATCGCAGAGAAAAACGGATAGCACCATCGTGATCAGGAGCCAAAGAACTACAAGATATTAAAGACAAAGATTTTTTGGTAACAGTTCCCCTTTAAAGAAAAGTACATGAAAAACCTTAAACACACCATCATCAAGCGATCTATTCGCTGCAAATTACTATAATTATCTCAATCAAATTTTCGGCCAGGACCCATCATCAGGATTGAGGAGAAAAACAAGTGAGGTGGACCTATATCAAGCAACACAAAGTGGAACGAAACTACACCATATGTGATAAAATTGATAGAATTGCACCATCCTTTCGGCACAGGCACGCACACACCCACCCATGCACATGCCAAAACACTGACTGAGACACAATCATACTCGTACTCGCACCAACATTCACACTCACACTCTGAACACTTGCAATTTTATCAAATATTATCACGTGTTGTGTAGCTCCGTTCCACTTAGTGTTGTCTGATATAGGTCCACCTCACTTCTTTTTCTCCTGGCCGAAAATTTGATTGAAATATTGCAATTTGCAGCGAAGAGACCACTTGAAGATGGTGTGTTTAATGTTTTTCATGTAATGAAGTGGCTGCAGTGGAGCTTGCGCATATAAAGAAAAGTAATATAATAAAATGTTCCCCACATTTACGGATCTGTTTGATCATACGAGGTTATTCTTGATGGTTTATCATCAGGGAGTCGTACCCAAACCAGGGAGGTGACACGGCACAGAAATCCTTGTCTCAGGGGTTTCCTCGCACACATTGTTATTTTTTTCGACTAGTCCATTCCATTCCAATCCGAATAGTCATAGCAAGAGTGCATAAGCCCCTGCGAGGCTATGTAATAGCTGTGTTTATACTGAGGGAGTACAATACTCACTATCCGTATTTCCCGCTCCTTCACCATAGCAATGAGATCCCATCAAGTATAGAAGAGCGCATGCTCCAGTCAGTTGTTCTCTATTCTCCTTCTCACCCTTGGCTACTCTCTTGTCTAAATACTTCTTCCGTATAATTATTCAATACTACAAAACCCTGTGTTCTGGAAGTGTGAGGGGACTGCGTTTAGCCGGGAGCTAACGCTGGTGTACACTCTTGGTCATATGCGGATCGACTTGCCTTCTGTATTTCACCTCCAAGCGTGCAACGCAATGCCTGCGAAGTATGATTTTTCTGTAGGCATCGATTTGGCATTGATCAAGTTTTTATTGGAGTGCTCAAGTAAAATAATGCTACGATTACTCAGAGGTCGCGGGCACGCTTGTTCACGTTCTCTATTTTTGACGAGCCGGTCCTAAAGCCCTACGTCGTATCTAACGACGTAGGAGCTGACAATGGAAGAGGATTTCCGTGGAAATAATGACGATTATGGTGTGACTGCTGCAGGAAAAGTGCTGCCTGTTCATGAGAGTATGACTAGATGTAACTCTCCTATATGGCACTCGACCCCAGCTAAGAATATGTTTTTTAGGAACACTGGTTCATTGTGCAAGTCATAGAATAAATGGAGCAGATATATTACTTACTTTTTCAAAAAACGGCTCCGTGTTATGTGTAATTTGTGTCAAATTGTAGTATTTCAACATGACAATATGACTGGCTGTACGTCTCTTACGGTACTCAACCCCTGCTAAAAATGTTCCACAGAATAGCAGTTCGTAACATGAAGAGAGACTTAGATAATGATTTAAATTTGGGAAGAATGATTGTATTTGGTCGTCGCTCACTACTCGTGATGTTGAAATGGAAATCAGCAAGGTAATCACGATGATGGAAAACATATCCGTGAAAAGTGGTGAGACTGATGATTTGACGACAATAAGCTAGTGATTCTAGGGAGCATTTAGAATTTAAGACAGATTTAGAAGAAGTGTAATCAAATGCAATTTTTTTCTTTTTAGTAGAGCTCTAGCAAACCTTGCCTGTAATTGATCAAGAGTGGTCATGGGTTTCTTAATAGTTCTGAACGACGGGATGACGTAAATTTAACAAAAAATAGCGCCCTCTCTTGAATAGTGCCCTCTCGTACTTGCCAACCCAGCCAAAGCAAATCCCTTAGTCACACTTCTAGATTCCCTTAATTTTCTCTCGCTTCCCTTATCTTGCTGGTTTTTCGCCAATTTTGGCCATTTCCGCTTTTTGTGGGCAGTTTTTGAGTATTTTTTGCGTATTATTTTGGAAATTTTGTTCTTTCTTTTTATTCATTTCTAACCTATTGCTCATTGGGGGACCAAAACCTGAGTTCCTTCATTGTCAGATCACCCCTACATGTGTGATTCTGTGAAATGGTTCTCTCCTCTATGAACTAGAAACTCGCTCTTACCCCCTTAGTGTAACTCATCCACTCTTTTGCGCTCCCCTCTCTTTATTGCTTCTTCTGTTTGGCTCACTCTACCCAGAGAAGTTAAGGATCTGACCTCACTCCGCCTGTTTAAAATCCGTGCCGCCCCTTATTTACTCAACATAAATAGCTCATTATCCACATGTCCTTTGCATCTCTTACGGAGTTGTTATTGCTGTTCATTTTGCTACTCTTTCTTTTTCCCTCCCCTTATTTTTATTTAACGCCGTGGTTGGCAATCACCCACTCTCTTAACATTGGCCGGTGTTTCCATCGAGTCTTGAGATGTTGTAATAAATATAAATATAAATGCAGGGCCGCATGTACCCTTGTCACACCACAAAACAACCTTTTTTTGAACACTCATTGTTTAGTGCCAATTCTGGTAGTTTTCAATCAAAGTCAAAATCCCCGGCATGCCGGTAGTTACCGTAGTTTTCCGGTAGTATACCAGGAAAACCGGCATTGTAGGCAATTACCCTGTCTTGAATAGTGCCCTCTCTTGAATAGTGCCCTCTCTTGAATAGTACCCTGTCTTGAATAGTGCCCTTTCTTGAATAGTGCCCTCTCTTGAATAGTGCCCTCTCTTGAATAGTGCCCTGTCTTGAATAGTGCCCTCTCTTGAATAGTGCCCTCTCTTGAATAGTGCCCTCTCTTGAATAGTGCCCTCTCTTGAATAGTGCCCTCTCTTGAATAGTGCCCTCTCTTGAATAGTGCCCTGTCTTGAATAGTGCCCTCTCTTGAATAGTGCCCTCTCTTGAATAGTGCCCTGTCTTGAATAGTGCCCTGTCTTGAATAGTGCCCTGTCTTGAATAGTGCCCTCTCTTGAATAGTGCCCTCTCTTGAATAGTGCCCTCTCTTGAATAGTGCCCTCTCTTGAATAGTGCCCTCTCTTGAATAGTGCCCTCTCTTGAATAGTGCCCTCTCTTGAATAGTGCCCTCTCTTGAATAGTGCCCTCTCTTGAATAGTGCCCTCTCTTGAATAGTGCCCTCTCTTGAATAGTGCCCTCTCTTGAATAGTGCCCTCTCTTGAATAGTGCCCTCTCTTGAATAGTGCCCTCTCTTGAATAGTGCCCTCTCTTGAATAGTGCCCTGTCTTGAATAGTGCCCTCTCTTGAATAGTGCCCTCTCTTGAATAGTGCCCTCTCTTGAATAGTGCCCTCTCTTGAATAGTGCCCTCTCTTGAATAGTGCCCTCTCTTGAATAGTGCCCTCTCTTGAATAGTGCCCTCTCTTGAATAGTGCCCTCTCTTGAATAGTGCCCTTTCTTGAATAGTGCCCTCTCTTGAATAGTGCCCTCTCTTGAATAGTGCCCTCTCTTGAATAGTGCCCTCTCTTGAATAGTGTCCTCTCTTGAATAGTGCCCTCTCTTGAATAGTGCCCTCTCTTGAATAGTGCCCTCTCTTGAATAGTGCCCTCTCTTGAATAGTGCCCTCTCTTGAATAGTGCCCTCTCTTAAATAGTGCCCTGTCTTGAATAGTGCCCTCTCTTGAATAGTGCCCTCTCTTGAATAGTGCCCTGTCTTGAATAGTGCCCTCTCTTGAATAGTGCCCTCTCTTGAATAGTGCCCTCTCTTGAATAGTGCCCTCTCTTGAATAGTGCCCTGTCTTGAATAGCGCCCTCTCTTGAATAGTGCCCTCTCTTGAATAGTGCCCTGTCTTGAATAGTGCCCTCTCTTGAATAGTGCCCTCTCTTGAATAGTGCCCTGTCTTGAATAGTGCCCTCTCTTGAATAGTGCCCTCTCTTGAATAGTGCCCTCTCTTGAATAGTGCCCTCTCTTGAATAGTGCCCTGTCTTGAATAGTGCCCTCTCTTGAATAGTGCCCTTTCTTGAATAGTGCCCTCTCTTGAATAGTGCCCTCTCTTGAATAGTGCCCTGTCTTGAATAGTGCCCTCTCTTGAATAGTGCCCTCTCTTGAATAGTGCCCTCTCTTGAATAGTGCCCTCTCTTGAATAGTGCCCTCTCTTGAATAGTGCCCTCTCTTGAATAGTGCCCTCTCTTGAATAGTGCCCTCTCTTGAATAGTGCCCTCTCTTGAATAGTGCCCTCTCTTGAATAGTGCCCTCTCTTGAATAGTGCCCTCTCTTGAATAGTGTCCTCTCTTGAATAGTGCCCTCTCTTGAATAGTGCCCTCTCTTGAATAGTGCCCTCTCTTGAATAGTGCCCTCTCTTGAATAGTGCCCTCTCTTGAATAGTGTCCTCTCTTGAATAGTGCCCTCTCTTGAATAGTGCCCTCTCTTGAATAGTGCCCTTTCTTGAATAGTGCCCCGTCAGTGATGGACATTGAAAAATAGTGTCCCTGGGGCACTAATCGCGCGAGTATGTATGTGGGTAGGTAAAACGTGCCGGTGTATATTTCTGATGTGATTTTTTTCCCAGGAGCTGAGAAATAAGGACCTCGACACCAATGCCAGAGCAGACTTTCTTCTGTATCTTAGTCGCCTGAAGGAAAGATTTACATCTGCATTCAAATATGATGATGATGGTCTGCATCTAACTAAAGACTGGTAAGTCCTTTCTGTTGGTACTGCTCCATTAATGTGTCTGATGCTGATAAAATTCCAGAATTATCACGCAAGTGTGTGATAACGGATATGGAAGTGACATCGAGACTAATGTGAGATGTTAGAGCATTAACCAATTGTGATGTCCTTCTCTACATGTCCCAGAAAATGAGTGAGAGAGAGTCATCTTTTCCAGATTCCTTCTGAACCTCTCTCTCTCTCTCTCTCTCTCTCTCTCTCTCTCTCTCTCTATCTATCTATCTCTCTCTATCTCTATCTCTATCTATCTATCTACACGAAATGGAAAAAAGAGAAATAGGTCCAGTTTGGATTTGTCGTGACTCAAAGTTTCATGCCACTGCACTGTCGTCTGATGATTGCAGTGGCTTGAAACTTTGAGTCAAGACAAATGCAAACTGGACCTATTTCTCTTTTTTTCGTTTGAAGCGCTCTGCACTTTGTGCACAATGACAGGGATAAAGAGCGGCTGCAAAACAGATTTCCCAAGGAGAGATCCTATAGTGGTGCTAGTACATGTACTGTGGTTCATATTTTATGGGCAAACAAAACACAATTTGCAAGTTTATGAAGGAGTGGAACACAATTCATGTGGTTCTTGAACTGTGGTACATGTACCTACTGTTGTTTGTCTACAGGCTGAAGATCTTCATGATGGAAGGTGGCTTTGCAGTCAAGAATACCCTGTCCGAACGCGCTTGTGTGCAGTACTCTTCCCTGAACCCGGATTTCCTCAACACAACTTCTGTGCCCAGTGCGGCTGAACTTGTTCCTTAGCAGTTCTTGTATTGTCATTATGATTTTTCGTCGTCTCCACGTAGACATCACTGCAAGGTACATGTGTATGCACAGCATGTATAGCTTTTGACAAAGTTTTGTATCACCCAAAAGCAACAACAGCCAAACAGAAAAATGACAGCTATAAAATGAGTGACAAAAAAAGCTCAACAGAGTTGAATTTGAAAGTGCAGCTCAATGCCAGGAGCTACATGTCGCGGGGCATGGTTGAATAATGGCTACCGGTTCAATTGTTTACAAGTTACTTATTTATTGTTTTTATTGCGTTTGTGACTTTATTTCGCTATTCGTTTTATTAGCTTTCCAGCACATAAACACTATCTTTCCATACTAATTTGCTACGATTTTACATTGAAAAGCATTCTCACTTAATTTTTCATAATCCACTCTCCGGGTACTTCGCAGCTTTCTGTGATAAAATCAAGAATAGATAACGGTCGATCTACGTCACACTGTTGCGGAGTCCCGGCAGCACAAGTAGGGGAAAGGTAGATCTACCCACACCTGTGTTTTCGTTTGGGTAGATCTACCGGACTCCCTATCCAGCACTTACTGCTTGCTATGATACGTACCATATTTTCCGGAGTATAAGCCGTATCCCCCCCCCCTTCTTTTGGCACGAAATACAGACATCTACCTTGCTTATCACTGTTAGCTTCATCATCGGGGTATAAGTGTGGCGTAGGCTGTGTTTACACGACAACGATTGACATCGACAACGATTTGTGTTTACATGGTAACAAAGTACGACCGAAACGGAGTGAAATCGTTGCGTTTACTTCTATCGTTTACACAACCATGCCCGAAAACGATACCTAAAGGGAACGAAATGGAAGCGCACTTGAAAGTGTTTGAAACGTTTTCAAAACGTTTTCGTTCTCGTGTAAACGGTGAAAACGATTGGAAACGGAGTGCGGTCATGGAAACCATTCCGCGGGGGACTGTTTTTGGCGGGAAATGTCCAACCATTGCGCCCGCCAGCACCTGCCAACTCCAACTAACGTGTTACTTCCCGCCCGTGCGCCAAGCCAGCACGTGCTAACTCCAGCCTGGTCGCCTCTTTTCCGTTTTCGTGTAAACGCTTCAGAACAATTTGCCGTTCTCGTGGTTTGAAAACGATTTGAGGCCAACGCGTTTTCATTCCGTTTCGTTTCGGTTTGTTTTGTCTCTGTGTAAACGCAGCCTTATAAAGTTATATACTCCGGGAAAAACGGCAGCACATACATACCAGGTCTGGTCAAGAATGTCAAACCTATGAAAGATAGTGAATGGTTCAACACTATCTCAGATCGGAGTTGTTGTGAATTGAACTGCTTTGTCTGATCGTTGTTGCGAAATTGAAATGTAACAGCTTACAGTCCATTCATAAAAAAATGGGTCCTGGCTCTGGCGAGCTCCCGTATTTGGCGATTTTTCGTGATTTCATCGTACACAGTGCGGTGCTGCGAACTTTGAAATTTGAAAAAGGGTCCAAAAAGGGTGCCTGAACTGGGGTTCGAACCGCAGAATGCACTGTTGCAGGCGGGGTCAAACGGCCTGGATTTTGATGGTTTTTCCCAATTCAGTGCTTTTGGGGCAAAACCTGGCCGAAATCCTATTCTTGCTATGGCTTGCTTTTTGGACAAAAAAACTTCAGAAACATAATTGGAAGAGGATTCCATATGGGATTGCAGAAAAAAATTCTAAAAAAACTCAACGTTTGACCCATTTATGGCCAAAAGCTAGAAGTTCATTTTTTTCTGAATGAACTGTAGGCGAGTACAGTGGTGTTGCCTCAACCGGGCCAGTTCTTCGTAACATTATACTAGTAGAGTGAAACTGCATGAAAAGTCATTCAGCTGAAGGAGCATGAAAGAGTACAAGTCATGTACATGTACATCTATAACAGTCATTGCCCTGCAAAACTTTGTATTCCAGAGCACAGTTGTTCCGGAAGTCGACCAGCTGAAGCTGCTGGGGGGGGGGGGGGGGTGCTGTTTGGCCAACACCTGTCCTTCACAGCTCATATCAGGCAGTTGCATGGCTATTCGAGGCTCGCAGCGTCTCGGCTTCCTCCGAAAGCCTCACGAGTGCTGGACTCCAGGTGCCGTGGTGGTGTGATCTACAAGGGCTTTGTCCGCCCGGTCCTGGAGTACGGCATGCTCGCGGGAATGAGCGCTGCACCCACCACTGTGGCTCGCTTCACTGCCATCCAACGCCGTGGCCTTCGCCTAATCGGTGATGGAGCCTACATCCCTAGCTTAGACATCCGCAGAATGGTCGAAGCACTCTGCTTTCTGTACAAGCTCCACTTTTTCTGGCCCAGACATGCTTCAAACCCTTCTTCCACCCCGAGCGACCAACACATCACGCCATAGCCGACGCACACAACGGCATCCCTCACACCAGTTTCAGCTCACTTCCACTCCTCCGCTGCTCAGAGCACGGAATGATGTCCTTCGGTCCTTCCCCGACGCTGTTGTGGAGATCTGGAACCAGGCAGCTCCCGCAGTGCGTTCTGCTGAACCAGCCAACAAGGAAAGGACTGCAAAGAGAAGGTCAGCGCCCACCTGCGCCTTACCCGCTGGGAGTGGGCAACGGACAGGCCTGCCATTTCATAATGATTGTATCATCGCTGCCTAGCTGCTTTGTGCCGTCAGATGGTGTGTGGTATTCTTTTCTAAAAAAAAAAATTGCTGATGCAAAATTTGCCGACTACCACGTAGGCCTAGGTCCAGCTTTGCGGTGATCAATGGCTGGGCACGGTGCCAGTGGTCATGTCGTTTCGACTGCTTCAAACCGGAACGTCAGAGACGAGCGTATGGTGCTTTTTACTGCATGCTTCAAACTAGTATTTATGGCGTTGATATGCCGAGGGCGAGATCAGACGATGAACGGTGTGGGGAGAACACAGAACTCCTGTTGTCAAATTGACGGATGTCATTGAGCTGTGCTCCATTGGCAGTACAGGATCCGGTTCGAGTTCGAGTTCGAGGACTACTCCATGGAGCAAAGTGAAGACGACCCAGCGAGGGTGGCGAACAGCTTCCACTATATGCAGGTTAGAATCTACAGCTGTGCCGAAGTTTGTTTGACGGCAGTTGCATTGTAGGTCACGGGAAGTAGGTTCCACCGCTCAGCATAATAATAATAAATTACATGGATCTGTTTCCATAGCGAACGTCGGCGGGGGCAAAATCAATGCTTCTATTGACTTAGGGGCCATTTACATGAGAAAAATAAATCCGGGCTCACTCAACCCTAGGCTTACGATAAGGCCGCCTTGATCTGTCACCCAGTCATTCTAGAGCGCCCGTTTACACGGTGAGGCGGGGTTATTCAGCTCGCCCCGATCTGAACTAGACCTACTCTTGACCCCCGAGCTTATTCAACCCCCAGGGATTATAAGCGAGTTTTTACGTATTTTTTCGATTTTGCCTCGTGAACCAGAGAGGATGTCGCCGTGGACAGTGGGTCTCCTTTGTTTCTTTCTTGGAATTTTTTCTTCTGATTTTTCTTTCAGTGGAAGGTGCTAGCCGATCCTTCACCTTCTCGAAAAATAAGTGACAATCGGAAGGCAGTGGAAGCGTGAGGCGGCACTTCTTGATCCAAATTTCATCATACACGAACATTTACCACTGCATTCAAATGTCAATTCAGCTTGTCTTATTGATTGCAGTTATCAAATTACTGCATTCATGTGCGATTTAAAAATTAAAATGTGCGCAGAACTCGCAGTCGACTCACCTGAACTCAGCCCCGTACAACCGTCATGTAAACGGTTGAAAAATAAGCACGAGGCGAATAAGCCCTGTTGCACGGGCTTATTTTTCTCATGTAAACGGCCCCTGAGCCTGCTGTTCTACAAGCAGTATGGCGATCACCATCGGCATGGTAAGTATACATCAAAGGCCTTTCTATAAAACTTATCCAGGATAAGAATTTTACTGTTGCTCTGTAATAATAATATTATTGGTTAGAGCATTGCTCACGAATAGCAAGGTCCCTGGTTTGAGTACGGGTGGTGTGACTGACTCGGGTGACATTTCCTTTCTTTCGTATCTGGCTTGCCAGCATTGAGTTTCAGAGAGGAAAGAGCAGTATGAGTCATGTGACCTAAGTTCCTAACACTTTGAATTTTCCATGAAGTGCAAACTTGAACTTTCAATTTGTGATTTTGCTCACAGTGGATATAGTTTGATGTGCTACTCACAAGATCAAGCACATGACCCGGGGTCCTCTTCAGTGGTGTGATTTGCCAGCACGATGCAAGCCAGATATTGATGGATTGAAGAAGGCCGATAGGTATACATTTACCATCACAGTGAATCGTTGAAGAATCAGAATGTAGCTCAGTGGTTTAGGGCATTGGTCATGAATAGCAGGGGGGGGGGGGGGGGTCCCTGTCCCCTATGGATCTTCTATCTGTGAAGTGATATCAGCGTATATAATGCAGCAACGCGATCCCTACACTGCTGCAGTACACCAGTGCACAAGTGACATGAAATCTGTGATCACTTTGTGCATTTGAATCTTTCAAAGTTGAGCATCTGTTGTCCAATCGCTTAGATATATTTATGCTGGAAAATGCAAGACTCGTCTTAGCACATTCCCGAAGAGTTTTTTTGAAGAATGTCACGCCGTATTTGAACTAAAGTTGACATATCAGATGTTTCGGACTTAAGTACTCTGCAGATCTGGTAGTGTAGTCGAAGCACAATGCGGGAAAACATGTAAATGTAGAAAAAGGAAAAAGAGCAACTGGACTACCGGTATATTCTCTGTGTGCTCTTTGGCCACTCTTGTGAAGAAATGTTGACACTAACAATGAACATTGAAGAAAAATCTGATCCAACCTGGATGCGAACCTTTTAAACCTCTGGATTGTGAAGACAATTTTAAGGAGGTCTATCTGATTATACAGTACAGGTATGTTCTCTTCAAATATCTTTCAGGTAAATCCAGGGGAAAGGGGAGGGGTGCAGTGTGCAGGGTGTGTGTGTCTCAGTAACGTTTTGAACTACATGTACTTGTACGTACAACTAAGAATAGCGTGCACACAATCCGAAAATCTGCCATGATTATGCTGGCGAGTTGCATACGCGCAGTGAGTTTATGCCAGGGAGTACTTTTATTATTACTCTGCTACTGGCTAGAAACACGCTGGAAACGTACAACTGGGACATTATGTGATGTGAGTTTTCGCCATCGGCGAGCCCCACAGAAAGGTTATCAGGAGTTGCACACTCTTGGGGGTTTATATACTCTTGGTATAACCCAGTCAACAGCAACTGTAACATTCTGACCTGTCATTGGTTTAAACTGGCAGTTGCCAAGACAACACAGCAGGCGAGCATTTCGGAGACACCTCAAGCCAAGAAAATCTACCTTGCTTGTAATGCAAGTATTCGCTAAGTTCCTGGGCTATATAGTATCCATTGTTTTTTTTCCGCAGCGCGTTTCCTGA